TCTCTGACGAAAATCCATCAGCTTTGAAAAAGCCTTCGACAATGTCAGCCTTGAAGTAATTTGGAAACCACCTTAATACTACAGAGTCGATTACAACCCTTCATATCTTAAACCTTTATCAGCCTTATCCAACAAATATATGATAATGCCATGTGTTAAGTGAATAATATCATGAAGCTCATTGAAGCGTTTTAAGTGAGGACACGAGTAAAACAAGGCTGTCCACAATCACCGATGATATTCCTGGTTTTGGTGGACTGCATTATGTGGCAAACTGTGGAGAGTGGGAAGATCCACACAGGATGGACCAACGGGAAGATACTGAACTTCTCGGACTATTCATCTCCAATGTCATACATAATCGAAGATCTGCAGGCAAAAACCAACAATTTGGTCGAAGAAGCAGCGAAAACAGGACAGAAAACAAAGGTGCTATGGATATATAACCAAAAACAATGACAATCAAAAATCATTATCAATGGGAGAAATTCCAAGGAAGTCACTTCTTCCACTTGTCTAGGAGATATCATTTCCGCTGCAAACGTCACGGATTAGCATGTCAAATGCAGGATCAGAAAAGCAAAACACCCTTAGTAATCAGAAATCAGTGTGGAAATATGCTGCACGCAACATAAAGAAGATTCGGATTTGCAAAACTAATGTCAAGGCAGTTAGTGCTTCTTTATGATTAAATGACATGGTGAGCACATCAGCAAAGACATTTCCAGCTGCCTGTTATTGACTTCCATCAACAACTACTTTCCGTCCATTCTGAAGATAAGAGGACCAGAAAGGACAAGCAGCATGAGTTATGCCTGGACAGCTAATTGTTATAATGGTAATGAACTCGACCGTTAGGCTAATATACCTATTCGTCCGTTGCACCTTCGATTTCACCGAGCCACGCAAATTTCAAAAGACAACGGCTAGTCTATGACTGTAAGATACTGTACATTTATTAGAAAAGCGGTACATAATATTTATACATTTTTATTTATTACTGATCACGCAATAAGTCACAAAATGCGTGAGAAAGGATGATAAACTATTTCATGCGGCTTCCTATTAAAATTGAACCCTATGAACGAGTCAAATAAGTAGCTATCTTTTATTTAATATGGTGGGATAAGTGAAGATGGATTGGATGTACTTTAATGAGAGCTTTCAGTGACAAAGCGCCCAAGACAGGCCCTGGAGTTGAATCTGGACGGGAAATGACAGGTTGCGCTTGAGTTCAACGTTGACATGGAGGAGTTCGTCTGAGGATTAAATGAAATCTCACTGGCAATCTTGGAGCCATCTTAAAGAGACTGCAGGGAATAAGTTAAAATAAGGATGTGTTGTTGAAGCCCTATGCTCCACTCAGAAAACAAGGGAATAATATTCAAAATCTGTTACCTTATTCAGGTCTACAATTCGTCACCATCACCCTTCTACATATCATGTAGTTAGCTCCTGATATTTCGTTCTGTTTCAGATTCGATGCGACTTTTGCCACCTTCGCCATAGTTGCTTAACGGCTAGTTACATCCTCTCCAGGGTGAGGTTGGTCAGTTGAACTGATTTTCAGTGTGTTTTCCCACAGTTCGGGCAGTCTCTCCAGAGAGATAACTGCATACAGCTATAAATTTATTTATCTCCAGGATCATCTTTTCGAATCCACTTCCCTAATAGGCCTACATAGTTAACGTGTTTTCCTATTGCTGATGCTACTTGCTTGAAAATAGTGCGACGTGGGAACATATAACTACCTGAACAGAGTTACAAAAGGAGATCAGCTTTGTCGGTTCATCGTCACCTGACTAAACAGATATCTTTATTATATTCTACAGACTTATTCAGTATCCTTATTACAGCACTCAAGTTAGCCGCTGCTATAACTGTATCTGAATGTTAGACTTTTAGCACCAAACCAGGTGGCTTTTGACAAAAGCCGATCTTTAGTTCATCAGGACTGCATTCAGTTGATGCGTAAGTGGGAATGGCAAAAAGGCATTGACCTGTATTTCTATCTTCCAAATAGTTTTCCAGCCAGAGAATACACACATATAACTTTCTACTTGAATCCGATGGTGCACTGAGTTGTATGCTCCGGGGCTGGATAATATTTCAACACTAGAAATTCCAAGATAACACGACAAGTGAATTGGCTGACGCACATAGTTTGCGTTTTTAGACTCACTGCATCGACTGGGGTCTTGAATGCGCATCGCAGAAACACGACAAAAATTTTAAACCCAAGATATCAGATTTTAGGCTAGTAAGACCTTGGGATCTGGTTGAAACATGATCCTTACATCCTAAACTCCTATGCGGAATCGGTTGCGTAGTGCAAAAGGCTGTGTATGGTCTTTCCATAGCTACAAGAGTGTGAGAGACCTTACTATGTAATAGTACCAGCGGTGAGAGGAAAACATCAGGATGTAGGCGGTTGATGAACAGAACAACTTCATGTGCTAATGGATCCATACTTCGAAGTATGTGGAGGATTGCTAATTCCTAATTGCTTACATCATGAGAGTTTTTTCTTTAAGCATCTGAAAGATGAAATGAGAGCGTGTTGAATGATTGCAGGGCCAAATGGATAGCAGTTCGAGGTCGTCTACACACGAAGTCATTGGATTATTAAAAGTTTCATCCACAAGGAAGACGTGGCTGCCAGATACGAATACACATAGAAGGTCTGTGTACTCACAAAATGGAGTTCGATTCAATGAAAGCAAGTTACTGAGCTTTATAATTATTGATAGAGGTGTACTTGGTTTAAATAAGTTTTCTAAATTGCCTTGAGTGATGAAATAAGTGAAGTTAAATTCTTCAGACCTAAACAATATTCTCTTCATGCTAAACACTCTATCGTCAGTCAAACTCGATAATTTCCCTTCAGGGGTCCTTGGAATAACTACTGCTTCAATGTGAAGTAACCTCTGGAAATATTATCTACAGAGAATGCGAAATCCTAGAAATTTAACCGCCAAGTCGAGAGAACACAACCACATCAAAATCATCCACCTAAGCTATAAATAGTCTCTGTCATTTCAAGAAAGTATGAACATGCATAGAATTCGGGTTAAATAGCAAGCTGGCATGACACTCCGTCAAATAAAACGGCGGCTTTCGGTTGCATAGTGGAAAAAGTAACATATGTATCTAAATGGGCATAATACCAATGTATTGTTTGCTTTCTTTCGCAATGAATCTTCAAAGGGTGAGGTCTGTTTCCTTAGCCTTTTTCAATAAATCTAGAATAATTATAAATCATTGCATCAAAGGTTTCGCATTCTTCGTCCGTCAGATTTCTAGAGCATATCTTACAAACACTGAAATAGACAGAATAAGATTTTTTATTTACTTGTTGGCAACTGCATGCTAAAATCAGTGAATTTGTTGGTTTCTCAAAGTGGTTAGTGGGCTGATTTATCCAAGGAAAATATAAGTCTTCTCTCCAGATTAACATTTGAGGAGTAACATGAAGAATTTACCTTTTCTGCAACCTAAAAAATATATGCAAGTACCAGTCACCGATAAACCACACTATTCCAACAACTCACTTGACTGAATCTGATCCTAAGTCACTAAACGTAAAATTGAATTAGTTTAGGAATCAAATGGAGTAATGCGAGAAGAACACTTGGGTCAGCTTGAAAATTTGATTTCAGCGAGTTCTTTTCCAGTGGCTTTCTCTGTTGCGTTTTCCTACCCTTAAATTTCGCCACATTCAGGTAATGAACATAGTGAGTAGATATTTTGTTCGCTCCAGTGCTATAACCTTTCTGTCTCCTGATGCATACGTACTGCTGCGTTGCATGCAGCTGATAAATTGTTTGCTTTAACTCATGCTTCTGGAAGCCAGAAAAGATTGCTTGCTCAGGTAAAATGAAAATAGGAGGATTCGCAAGTTGGTCCCACCAAAAACTCATGTGCATCGGACAACATACCAGCTAATTTGATTTGTTGAAGTAAGTAAAACAAGAAATATACTTCAATATTTAGCTCAAACAGCTAGGAAAATTTATCCTGAGAGCCTTTTGGTGAGATCAGATGAGATTTATTTACAAGTGCCATGGAAAAAGTTTTGTATATGTTCAGGTCAGTATTCGTGGTTATACTCCGTAGGTTATGTTGACAATCATAATTCTATCCATAGGCACATCGGGTTCTCTACATCAATAGTTAACTAAAGGAAACGCTCATCTAACTGAAATGAACTATGCTGCACACACAGATACCTCTTTAACAATAATATTGCACATCTCAGAATGACTTCCACACGTCAGTGGTATCAGTCGTCTTGAGACTTTTAAATAAGTTTCATATCGACTTTCGAAAATTATAATTTGTATTCTCTAGATATTTATTTCTTCATATGGAAAATGACTAATCTTTTTGGTTTTCACATTTTTGATCCGTTTTCTTATTACATTTATGGTTAGACATTACTACTTATGAGTAATTATTCAGACTTTTTATTGTGTTTCTACCAACTTAGTAATTGTTCTAATTATAATCTTTCAAGCCTAATACACCTATCCACTTTTTGCCTGACTCCCTCTTTTTTCTTTGAATGGTTACCCTTGCCCTCATTTAGTTATCTTAGAGTAACTCGAACATATACTAAGTCTACTGCAAAAAATATGATATTTCAAGCTTTCTAACGACAGGCTTTTAACCAAAATAGGCTTTTGAATAATTATTTTCGCCTGTTGATCTAGTAAAGCCTATAACTATGTACGTCTTGATTTACCATCATTATACAGATAGATCCAAAAGTGCCGAATAATCTCTTACTATGTTTGAGTAATATTCCCCATAAAAGTGTTCCAATAAAGTTGAATCATTCTACGCCCAAACACCAAAATGTAATCTCACACACCAACATTTTTGTTAGTTAGGTATAATAGCACATGCTTTATTAATTTTCCCTAGAAGTTTCCAAATGTGATTCATACGATCGTTCACACGTTGTTGATTTTTGCACGAGGGTAAAAGAAGTTCTGAAAATCGTACTTAATGTTTATTTAAAAGAAGCAGACATTTAGCAAAACTTAAAAATATTAATCAAAAAAATTTTTTTTTCATGACATCCTCCAGAATAGTATTCAGACTGATTATGATGATTTGATGAAATCAAAATCTGAAATTTATAGAAAAGATACATGTTAACTTCTTAAAAGAATGAACTGCTGAAAAAAAAAAATTACACTGAGAATATTGTTCTTTTTAGAAAAATTACAATTTCAAAGGTTCCGAAAGTTTTAAGAAGATTCCATCTCAGCTTTTCTTCATTGACATATATATGAGTTGTTAAATGTAGTATTAAATAATTCGCCTACTTTTCATAACTTCTCCATTATTGTTCTCAGTTAAGTAGGTCCACGCAAGTAATTTTCTATGGTAAACCGTCGTCAGGACTGAGGGTTTGTATTCTCATCTGTGTTAAATTTATTATTCACTGTGCATGTGTATGGACTTAGAAGTCATTATTTAATTTGAAATAAAAAAGTATGTCCAAATAACACTTATCTATGATGGCAAATTATTTTTATGCTGTGACGCACTATCTATTTTTATAGCCTGCTTAAACGGTTCGGCTATCTGAGTTTCCATCTAGAATGACGATCTGATTTTGTTCATTTGCTATTGTTTTAATTCTTCAATTATTTCCTGTTTGGCAACATGCACTCAAGTATACGTTTTCTTGGAATTCAACCTACTGTTATGCGCTTCAAGATGGAAATGAATAGAAAACATCGTAGGGGATTAAATCTTCTTTTAGACGGAACAACACCGGGTCATACAATATTCTGGTGATTAGTACTTTACCTATAACACTTTTCAAGTTTATACCTTCTTTACTGAGAATTTTTGTCACATTTTGAATAAGCTAGTAACTCAACCATCTGTAAAACAACTAAACAGTGAAGCCGTAACTTGTAGTTTGTCCATAGCAATCACTTACACAGATTAAGAACTTTCAACACTTCTTATTACTGTAAACAACTAATAGTTCATACAATGATTTATTTTTTAGGGATTAATACAAGCTGAGATGTTTATTTTCAAAAAATGTATTTTAGAGCTTAAAAATAGCATAAACTCAATAACAGACAGATTTATTTAAAACACAATTCAAGGATGAGAAATAAAATAGCGTAGAACTTGAAACTTTATGATGAAAATGTCCGTTATTTAAACTCGTAGATGTACTTGTTGGTGTGTTATCGTGATATAACACTGCTTTTTTCATGTATTTTTTCTGGAACTGTGCACTAGATATTGCCAGTATTTACCAGGTTTTTCTGTGCTTATTCGCTTATCTTAAACATATTTTAGTTTTTTAAGTATTAAAAATGTCTGTATCAGTCACTCAACGAAATCATTAAATTTCTATGTAGCTGATGAGTGACTGGAAATGACCAGTCAAGATTCCTGTTGTACCTCGTGTTACTGAAAATTCAAAGGAGGAAATATCTGCAAGTTAGACCATTCATGGGCATTAACGATTCATAATTGTTTTTGTCATAATGACAAGTAATACTACTGCTTACTTTACTTGTGGTGTTTCTCTTAGTAAACGTGTAAAGATGTATGTATATTTATATACTACTGATCGATTGATTTCAGTAGTTGCATGGACTGGTAATGCTTGCTAGTTAGATCGAAGTGAACTAAACACTGGACCACCGTTTCGCTGGTTCAAGACAGCGCTCATCAGAAGTGCACCTAGTTGAATTCGTAGTAGAATCGTATTTATCACTTACCAGAAACTTATAGTAGTTTGCTGTTGAGTAAAATTATTTTTGCAATTAGTTAGGAGTGATTTGTAAAGATAAAAATCACGTACTAATCAGAGACACAGTTAAAGTAACGGTTTGAAATGTTTTAAGGTGGAAACTGTGTTGTTGAATACCACATAGTTTTTATCTTTAGAAATTACCTTTGAATAACTCTATCGATTATCTCACTCTACTCAAACTCAGTAATAGACTACCATACGTTTGGGGCAAATATAAGTATGACTGTACAGAATCTGACGATGACTTCATTGATAAAGGAATTTTCTTCTCTGAATTGTCTTTTATTTTGATGACTCAGTGGGTATTTGCCGTCTTTTAGGAGTGTTTTATTAATGGACTTCGGTAAGTCACATCCAAAGCATGAATTAAGTAGACTGTTAACATCGAATACTAGGCTACTCTTGCATTGTTTTCTCGATGTTAAGTGTTATTATGAATGCTCCGTTTTATGAAAATCAACTCAACCAATATGAAGTCAACCATTCATCTTGTCATAGTAATAAATACTGTGAGAGTTAAGATTCTGCTACTGCTGTGTGCATGTTTTTATTTGGAATGACATAATGAATTTAATTTCAGTAAGCGCTTATTCAATAGCCAACGCTTTGTGACGTATCCTTACATTTAGTGAATAAGTTGGCATAATTTATTACATCTCATTGTAGACAAATTCAACAGCTTGCCTAATATAGTAAATCTGAATAAAATAACAGACAAATTCAGCGAAGAAAATTTTCTTTATAGATGAAATCATCTTTAGAGGTTAAATAGTCGTGTTTATATTTACCAAAAAAATGTATTGTAGTCTATTATTGATTAATAGGGGGTGACATAATTAATATAATTACCCTAAAGTGGCTTTAGAAGTAAAAATTAAGAGTCGTAAATTATGTGGTACTCAACGGCACAAATTTAGAAATTTGATTAGGTTAAAATTGCTATTCAGTGGGAATAAAGGTAGTTGAGTGTGAATTTAACAAGTGTGAAGAGGGTGTGAAAATGTACAAAAGGAACATATGAGAGTGATAATAGTGAATTAATTATTAGAGTAGAAACAAACTAAAAGTAAAATTGAAAATTAAAAAAATTAGAAATTTTTACAGGGAACGACTAGTGAAGAGGTGAAGACTAAGGTGGAATAAGAGACTGGACAAACTTTTTCTGTACACAGAGTTCGGAGTTTTATTGACGAATTGTCAGCAACTCCGCCATAGATAAAAGCCGAAACCTGACGCCCTTTGTACAATTTGGCCTCACCTTGTAGATGATCTTGAAAGACGACTCTGATGGAGTTACGTGGCTTGAGTTCACCAAGTGCTCGAGAATTGAGCTAGTAATTATCTTGCATCGTCCTTTTGCTAACCATGCCGGATAATGTTCAGAGATGCCTTTGGGAAGCGTGCGCTTTGTGCGGCGAATATAACTAGCTCAACACGAGCAGGTGAATTTATACACACACATTGAGGTGACACAAAGCGGCAGTTTATCCTTCACACATTTGCTGATCATTTGTTGACTGGAGAAATTGATACGTAGCTCAGGCATAAAAAAGGCTTTCCTCAGTGACCTGCATAAGCGATTCTTCAGGATCTTAGCTGCGGTATCACCTTTAAATTCAACGCTCATAAATAGCAGTTTCTTCGGCACCGTCTGGGTTTTCCCAGGCTTTTCCATTAAATTCATATTTTTTTCGATAAATATTGGAGGATATCCATTCTTCATGAGGACTTGTCTGAGTCGCTCCAGTTCCCCTTCGATTGTATCACTGAAGCATATCCTTCTTCTTCTTGAGGATAAGGAGTGGATCAGGTTTCTATTTCTTCTCAAAGAGACCCAACTATGAAAATACATGTACTGACCATTCCTCGTTGGTTTCCTGTGGATCGATATTTGAAGAGAACCATCAGATCTCCTCTTTAGAAAAACATTCAAAAAATGGAACTCCGAGTTCATCTCTGATTCTGACGTGAACTGGATACAATGACGGCAACTTCTGAACTCCTTAGTTATCACTTCTATGTTGGTATTCTTGTTGCGTATGATGAGAGTATCATCCACGTATCCCTGTTACGTATGGAAACTACTGATAGTAGGCCGTAACATACTATTCTCCAAACTTGCCGAGAAGCAGTCTGCAAGTGAAGGACCCAATGGTGACTCCATTACCACTCCATCTCTTTGTCTGTAAAGCGTGTTGTTGAACTTGATTAGGAAATTTAAAGTTCACCTTAACAGTAGTTTCTTCAAGTAGTGAATCAAAACATACACGCCTACATTATTGTCCTCAATGAATTTGCACATAAAGCAAATAGTTTCAGTGAGAGGAACATTGGCGAAAAGGGACGTAAAATCTATAGATATCATTTTCTTCCAGGATACATTAGTATAACATATGGAATCGGCGAATTCAAATGAATCTGAAACACTATGATTGCAGAGATTATTTATGATACGTAGGAGGATGTCTGAGAGCCATTTGGCAGAAGCATGATATGGGGAATTTGTCATTTCCAAGGTTGTACGTAATGGTACGTTCTCTCTGTGCATTTTCGCAGACCATATAGACAGGGAATCAAGGAACCTGAAGGTCGTATTTGCTCAAATAATTCAGAGCTGATAATCGATCCGTTGTTCATCTTCTTCAGCATTTTTGTTATCTTTCCTTCATTTCGTTCCGTTTGGTCTTCCTGGTTAATTTTTCTTTGAAAATTTGTTTTCATCTGGCATGATGGATAAGATTTTATCGACTTAGTCTTGGCCATTCATCAGAACAGTGCCAGCACCTTCATCGGGGCTGGTCAGAACCAAGTCTTTATTCTTTAAAATATCACGTAGTTGCTTTCTATGCTCGGCTGAAATCAATCTTTTGACATTCGGTTTTGTATTGATATACTGATGGCAGTTATTCAATGATGTAGACTTGAATATGATTTCTTGGACACTGGGAGAAGGTAATTTGTCTGTTGGACCACTGCTTCAAAATGAACTTATAATCCATTCACTCGAATTTGTCGAAATATTACAGAATTTCGGACCCAGTTACAAGGCTTGCAAATGGATAGGAGTTTATGATATACTAGAGTAGTTGAAAACGTATTTCTCTGGTGTAGCAGGAAAGCATGAATAAGTGTCAGCGGCTTTCAGACTATTCGCGAGTTTCAGACTTACATCTTCACAACGTCTTCTTGAAACTGAATCGATGTAGTCGGTAAAATTTCTCTGTTCGTCTTCTTTCAGTTCAAATAGAGCATGCGTTTTAGCGAAATGTTTATTTCTATCTCTGGTAACCAAGATTGTATTTCACCAATCACAATTAGTGTATGACGTTTCAAAGAGCAATGATTTGGGTGGACATGAATGCGACGACGACATTTCCAGTAGCGCTTGGGATATTCTTTCTTATCAATACAGCTCCTTAGAAAACTGATTCTTGTATTCGCTATGGCAAGCTTGACAGAAAACTTAAGAAAAGTATCAATTTCTTTCACTAACACAGGGTTCTTGCTCTGCTTGAAATCACCGAAAATATCCATTGAGTCATGAATAAAATAAAAGAAACATTTTCCTTCTTCATGATTCAGTGGGTATTTTCGGTGATTTAAATCTGAATAGTAAGACAAGCATTTGAATCACCCAGCCAATAACTTAAACTTTACTATAGAGAAGGAAAAGCATCATTAACCCATGCTTTTCAAAATTATATATGTATATGAATTCTTCTCTCCATTTGGTAATTACTCAAAACTGAAATACAGTAAAGAAAGACACGAAGAGGATATTATGAACGATTACCATAAATTTGATGGACCATCTATTTTATTCATTTAAGATCCATAGCGTACTCGTGGGTGACATTTACTTTACAAGAAATTGTAATCAAAAGATTGAAAAGCGTTTGGATTTTCAAGTGGAAATATTTGCAGCATAATGAAACTCATATAAATGTAATAAATGCAAGCGCTGGGGTTTAGAAATACTAACTGAATCGATTAACTATATTCTATAATATAAATTATTTTTATTTTTTGAAAGACAGAAATTTCTACTGCCAACACTACAAATTATTTTTGGAACAATTAGAACAAACTTTTATTTGGGAGTTCTCATTAGCCTATTTTGTTGCCTACATTTTTACAAAAAATGCTTAACTTACTTATGTCCCGATTGACTTCTATTTGAATAATTCTCATCGGTAGAGACAGGTAATACGCCTTGTTCTTCATTCATTGTTACGGTGCCTCTATAAAAATAATGCATTATTTAAGGTGAAAATTGAAAGGCAAGTACGTAGAAAATAATGGCAAATCTAAATGTATATTTACTTATAGTTTCTAGATCCCAAACATTTATATTATGTGTATCGGTCTTGATGTATTTGTATAAAAATTACTGGCTAGGTTATTTCATTCGATGAAGGCCAACAGACACCAGTATACTGGAGAAAATAGCCACTGTGCAGTTGGTTCAGTTCTTTGCGAGACCACGTTAGTACGTTGCTATAGTATACCAAAGTAGGATGAAACAGCTATTCATTCTTTCCCAGCTGTCGGTAGTTTCTTCAGTGTATTTCTAATTTGTAATTTTTATGATAACGGCAACATTTTAGCGTGGAACCACAGAACTGTCAATCCCGGAAATAAAGTATCCATGTAGGATATTTTAAAGCTTCAAATATATATGAATTATCGAGCATTAGTTTTTATGAACCACTATGTGGTTGTTTTACCCGTACTGTTGATGTCTAGTTACCTAAAACATTCCCGAATGGAAAATCCTCAAATTTTAGCCTGCATGAATTCCTTAACCATCCTATATCATCAACGACAGCTACAACTGTTTCCCTGTTAATAGTGTTTCATGGATTTAAAAATTAAAACTGCCTATTTTCGCCCGTTCCTCTGTATAATGCTTAGATAAGCTCGCAACTATTTAAGCCCTTGTACATATCAGCTAAATCATTGAGACTACACTAATGTTGACTCTATTCTCTCCAAAAGTTTTTCTTCACTTTGCTACTGTGCTATTGTCTGTTCTAGAACAACGATGTATTTTGGCAACTAATCCAGAGTATTTAAAGCACCACTCCAAGAAAATTTTTATCCTCAGAAATAATTATGACTGTTTGACTCTCAGGGTTTACGGTCTATAACATTTTCTAAAATCCGATTTAAGCAAGAAGATTTAAATGTAACATAAATTTATATGAAAGCTAACATTGGTCATCTTCTTAGAACAGTAATTTATTACTATGTAAAAAAGGGAATGACTCACGCACGATGCGGCATATCATCAACTGAATAAGAGTAAAGTGGTCCTGATTCTTCTTCACCTCTTCTTTCCTGATAATTTCTACTAAAACATTTTCAGTGAAATACATCAGTTAAGTCTCATAATTAAATTACTTACTCATGCTGTGATGTATAGTTTCTTTCATGTGAATTTTGTGGGCGTGCATAGTCAGAATAACTTCCTTCTATATACGATCTTCATTAAATTTTTATGTGGAAGTAGAAGGAAAGGAACCAATTTAAATAATTACTAATAAACAAATTATCATGAAATGTTTTCTACAGCTAATAACTGGAGAAATATCAACATCCGAAACAATGCAGCTAGACTATAGAAACTTTCTGGTGGTGAATATCAAGTACTAAGAAATTTATTTATTTATTTATTTAAACGCAGAAAAAACTTGGTACAATATGGCACCAAGAAAGATGTACCACACAATAATAATAAAACAACATAGATTAAAAGTAAAAATATTAGTAGAAAACGGATAAAGCACTTCATCAAGAAGGAAAACAGTCATGTTTAACAAGTTCAAACAGTATTCGTTAACTATCATCAGGAAGGGAAGAAAGAAGGAAATTGCAACACGTTCGCGATTGATTACGATTCTTGGCCATATCCGATAACGTTTCGAGCCATCGATTTGAGCTATCTCGCGGACCCCAACTAGGGAGTCGTGACGCACCAACCGATGCTAATCTAGCACAAATATCCTTCATTCCACGACGCCACGTCATGGACTGACCACCCCCCGCCTTTTCCATCCCGTCCCAGGGCTAGCGAACAGAGACCTGTACGGAAGCCTCTGGGATGACATTCACAGCACATGTCCAAGCCACCGAAGCCGGTGTTTCCAGATGACGACACTCAATGAATTGTGATCTCCACTGTGTTCAAACACACGCCACCGAACCTCAGAATTACTCACGCGATGATGCCATCGAACGCAAGCAATCCTGTGGAGACAGCGATGATCGAACACGCAGAGTCGCCGCACATCCTCAGCTCGAAGAGGCCATGTTTCACAGGCGTAGAGCAAGACAGCCCGCACCGAAGCACTGTATGCCCGAACTCTGACAGCCAGGCTAACGTCGCGACGGCGCCAGAGGTTGCTCAAGTTGATGTATGCCACCCTAGCCTTCATTATACGGTTGGAAATCTCATCCGTCACCCCTCCATCAGCACTCACACAACTACTCAGATACACAAACTTATCAACAACTTCAAGCGGTTCACCCGCAAGAGTGAGTGCAGGTACAGGCTCCTGCCAATCTTGTAACAATACTTTGCACTTAGACGGTGCAAAGCACATACCATACTTACAGATACTGATCGCCAACTGATTAAGTGCGATTTGGGCAGCCTGCATGCTATCGCACAGTAAGACGACATCGTCTGCATACTCGAGGTCGAAAAATTCCTCTACAGGAAGGGGATCTACACCACCTTCACGCACATCCTTCAGAGCTGACTCCAGAATGTCATCGATGGCAAAGTTAAAGAGAAATGGAGAGATCGGGCAACCCTGTCTAACCCCACTGTTGGTTGGGAACAGTGATGATAGTTGGTTGTATGCCCTCACTCTACCTGAGGTGTTTCTGTATAGGGCTTTCAAGATGTTAACAAATTTCCCAGGTACACCTCTCTCTAACAGACAGTTCCAGAGCACAGTTCTGTCCAACGAATCGAAGGCAGCCCTAATATCAAGAAACACAACGATTGTTGGCCTGCAACACGTGTGGCGGTGTTCCAACAACTGACGAAAGGTGAACGCATGATCAATGCATCCACGACCTGAACGAAACCCAGTTTACACTTCGCGAATCAGTCCCTCACGTATTTTGCACAGCCTGCGGAGCAAGACAGCAGTCAATAATTTAGACGCGACTGGTAGCAGACTGATACCCCTATGATTGTCACACGAATTACGTCGACCCTTTTTAAAGATGGGGACGATGATGGCTTCGTTCCACATTGATGGTACACTCTCAGTTTCCCATACCTTCCTGAACAACCCAGTTAGGGCCATTGTGAGAGTCTCGCCATCATCTTTAAAAAGAGCCGGGAGTAAATTGTCTGGGCCAGTCGCCTTATGGCGTTTTAACACTTGGAGTTCCTTACGGACCTCCGCTTCGGTGGGTGGGTCGGTATTAACCGACCTAGGAGCACTGGGGCTAATGACAGCAGACATTGAAGCTGGTGGCCAGCTAAACTGTTTCCCGGAGTGCTCTGCCAAGCGTTCCAGGCGTCTTTTCAAACTGGTAATTGGCGTGCCATCTGCCTCACAGACCGGCTCGCTGACACCTTGTTTCTTGCTAGTGGTGGCTCGGATGAGTTGGAACAGCTTCCGACTGTTGCCAGGTGCAGCAGCTGACTCCATCTCACCCGCACGTTCTGACCACCAGGCTTCGCGGTCCTTACGCAAACACTGTCTTATCTTGCTCGTCAGCGCCTTTCGCTTATTGCTGTATTCGCTGCCAGTCGGAATGGACCGGCTTTCATCCAGGAGTTGCAAGGAACTCGCAGAAACCCAGTGGTTTTTGGCGAAGCATTCTTTCAAGCCGCAAGTGGCTACACTCGCTCTTTGCATGGCACCTCGCAGATGAAGCCAATGTTCATCTACACTACTTGGGTGGTTGCTGGCAAGCATTGACTGTAACTCATTCTGATATTTCAAACAAGTAGCAGGTGCTACTAGTTTGCTCACATCAACGTTTAGACGACGCCTTTTATGAACCCCACCAAATCGCAAGACGAACTTGGCACACACTAACGCATGATCGGAGTCCAGGCATGTGCTCCAGAAGGAGCGACAGTCTTGTATGCATCCTCGCCACCGGAAGCTGACAGTAATGTGATCGATCTGAGTCCAAGCTTGGTTCGCAGAGGGAGGACGCCAGGCAGCGCTACGGCGATGGTTGTGCAGGAAGTTGGTGCTGGCCAGAAATGGGTTGTGATCCGCGCAAAGCTGCAGAAGACGGTCCGCATTATCTGATCTGCGACCATGTAGTCCCCATTGACCACCTAGACGATTCTCCTCTGAGCTCAGACACCCGACCTGTGCATTCAAGTCCCCAGCCAGCACTACGATATTCCTGCGACCTGCCCGTCTCAAGAGATCGCTAAGTTGGTGGTAGAACTCATCCTTCATTGCATCCGGGCTGCAATCCGTTGGTGCATAGGCAGAGACAACAAATAGACACCGCATATCTGGCCTACTACTCCTTACTTTCGTATAACCTTTCAGCCTCACAGCACATAAACGACTGTTAATGGGAATCCAGTCGAGCAGTGAAGCTTTGGCTCTAGCGCTCAGTGCGACACCGACACCAGCTACGTCGGATGCCGATGCCACAGGGTCCCCGGACAAGCGCAGGTGGTACATACTACTAGAACTTCCAGATGGAGAGGATAATCGAAGCACTTCACTGGGATCTTGAATGTGGGTCTCCGAAATGCAGCAGATATCGATAGCGAGGCTTTCCAATGCTCTTACTAACCCTACCTGTTGTCCGATTTGCATCAGCGTCCGAACATTGCAGGTGGCCAGCTTGAAGGCGGCACGCGGTTTCAGGATATCTGTGTTAGATGTCACATTGGGGACAATCATTTTCAGGGTTACTCACTAACATCTCGAAACGACACAGATAGGCTAGGAATCCAAACAAAGGCGAGAGGCTGTCGAAGGTTAAGAAGTCAAGATGAGCAAAGGTAAAATACAGGAATCCAAGTATAAAAATAAAAGTAAGGTTGGAAGGACATAAATTGGTTGAGATATCATTATTTCTTGAAATCATTTTTGCGTGCGCGCGGTGAGTTTCCATAACAGTTTGTTGCTTCATTTCACTTATTGTGTGAGGGCTGAGATATTGCCCGGGCACCCAGACCGAAGCAGGTGGTTTTCTTAAGGGACCACCCCCCGAGCCTTTGACTTGGAGTCTAATCCGCAAGGCAGCGGAGCAGCGTCAGGAGCTGCGTTCCCATGGTTGCCGGTGACCCATATGGGTTCATACGCCATTTGATCCGATTGAATTCTGGGGCCGATGTACCCCATGGTAACTGCTTTTAGTCTAACCGCTATCCAAACAACCTTCCTGACATGGTAGGACCTGCAGGGACATGAGTCCCAGTCAGTTTAGCTTGTTGGGTCACTGCGGCATTCAAGCCCGACCACCACGGCAAGGTAGCAGTTGTCGGCCGGTCGTACTAAGAAAAGTCTGCTGGCATGACAAAAATTATCGCTACCCACAAGTAACAGGCTAAAACCGGCAGGGTTTAGCAAACTTTCATGCGTACTTCCCTCACACAATATATATATGCTAAAAGCCGCCTTGTATTCAGGAATTAGGTCGTTTAGAGATGCCTAATGACTGAAATTCAGAGCAGGGGCTTAGTAACATACGTTTCAAGCAGATGCAAAATTACTTTTGCAAATTATTTATTTGAAATTTGTGACTTTAAAATCATCTTGGCAAAGCTACTTAAAATTTTCAATCATTAAAAGATGAACATTATTTGCACGAGACTTTTAACACTTCAAAAGATGACGAAATGGTAAAACTTATCTTAGTGATGTCTTAAAGTAGAAACAAAGGAAGATATTCGACATATCCCTGACTTCTATTAAACTGCCATATTACTGAGTACTCGGACCACCTCATCTGTTTGCAATGGAACTTCCCATCAGTTTACATTGTGAATTCACCACTACACCGTCAGACAACCAAAAGTAGATTTTAGTATAGAAAGAAAGACCAGATTTGCAGTATAAAGTGAAACCATTCTATTTCACACGTTCTCATCAATTGCAAACGACGTCATTTCAAACAGTGAAACACTTTTCAGTTGATGAGAACTTGTGAAATGGAATGGTATCATTTTATACAGCAAATCTGGTCTTTGTTTCCTAACTGAAAGTTATCAAGGGAACCAATTGTATGAAAAATATATACTTTTTAGCAAAGTGTTGGAACTAAGAAGAAACTCAATGAATAATGAAGATTATCTGTGAAGAGGTTCTCAAGAAGAATCCACATATGTGTTTATAATACATTTATTGACTTAGATTTTGAGAAGTATTTACTGAAACTTCATAAGCAGTACCTATGAGACCGTTTGAATTCCTCAACCAAAAAGAAAACATCAATACTTAAAATTCATAAACCACAGCCACATATTGCTGCAGAATTTCTAGCCGTAGCATTTTAATTCAGTTATTTGGGCTTAGGATCATTAAAAGGTAGCAAACTATTAAAAATCTTACTTACGTTACGTTAGGTGCCTTTGCTACATAATAGTTTTGTCCTTGCTGACTTTCAGACGTATTCTAGAATAAAAAAACAATTGTGGAATTACTTGAATCACTTGGAATAATTTACTATTTTTAGACAGCATCTGCAGTAACATTTTATATACTGAACACTGAAGGCTTTGTATCATGCAATGTTGCTTGTTTTTGTGTTATTGTACAAATAGTCATATTAATTCTCAGTTAAAACCATTTCAGGTAGTCTCAAAGTAAATCAAGCATAATATTCGCCTCCTATTTCTTATTCTTATATATATGCATCAGAATTAGCTGTTATCACCTGAAATAGAAATTAAATATTCATACTTCTCTGTTTGCAAAATCTAATTCGGAAATGCGAAATTTATTTAGAGTACTAACTGTAAAAATCACCTTTACTAATACACTAGATTCACTTGATATTATATATATATATGCATTTAATAAATCTCCATGTTCACAAGAACTTTAATGGCAGTCTTTTAATGAAATTACAAAAATCCAGCAAAACTTTAGGTTGAATTTTAAAAAGAAATCATTCCCCTTAATGACACCCTATTCTTTATTTCTCTGCGTTATTTTACCCAGGCTGTAGCTGGTCTAGAACTATGCATACGCTCCCACTTCCTGTAGTTGTCCAGATCCTGAAAAAACTTCGCCACTCTTCACTATATTATTACATTCGTCTGCCTGCTTCTCAGTGTATTCACTATCCTCAACTTTTTTGAGTACTTCTTTGAAATGTGGCAAATTGAACTGATACATTTGTTTGCAGCGTTTTACGTTAATCTCCCAGTTTGAAATTTTTTCTAATTTCTCAAAGCACTGTTTTTATTCAAACATAAAATAAACCTCAAATCTTTTCGAAATCCACTACACCTACGGCTATAAGGAATTCATAATTGTGCTATAAGTATCCCGAAGAAACGGCATCTGCAGTCAACAATCAATGTACCAATGGAATTCGCCAAAAAGAGTCTCCTCGCTGAACGCCTTGTTTTCTTTTAAATGTACCATTTTGTGTGAATTCCCATAAAATTGAGAAACCAATAACTAATGTTCTGTATTTCAGACGTTATGTTTTTATGATAATCACTGAATCTTGGAAGTGTGAAATAAGGTATAGATGAGTTTCCTCTACAGTTTGTATTAGAAGTGTATGTATTCTCCAACTGGATCTACATTTGCGTTGCAATAATTTCTAACTGAGAAATTCATCTTACCAAGTATTTTAAAATGGAAACATCACGTTATGTTAGCAAAATCTCAGCGAAATTCCCTAGACGGTAATGCAATGAAAATAAGTTGCTCTTTATATAATGGTGATGAATTGTCGGTATGTTTGTGTTTCTACGCAGTAACTGAAGTAAATATTACAATAAGTCAACATTAGAATTCAAACAATGGAGAGATTCATCCAATGGGACGACTAAATAGCTAGGTATACTACAAAGCTACTTGAATGATTAATTTTTTCGATTTTATTGATGGGTCTAAGGTTTCTTATTGAATTATGAAGATTTCATATGCGCCAGGCCTATGAACCTTAGGCGCTCTGCAGAGTTAACAGGGTTTGATGCTCACAAATTAAACAAGTGTTCAGTACTTAAAGTAGAAATAAAAACTTAATGTTATCAAGGCTTCAAAACATATCTTGATGACGAAATAGTATACAAATAAAATTCAAACCAGGAGCACTAAGTTTCTATAAAGTTGTTTCAACTACCAGAATAATCCCAGAGCATTTTTGGCAAATTAATATTTACTTAGACTTCTTCCACTGCATTTAAAAAGTGTGTCTACATAACAGAAACGTTTTACTCTCTACTAATTTGCCAGTGGGGAACAATGGTAAATAAGTCCAAAAATATTAAACAAAACTTATCTTTACGACAAAGTGGCCAAAAGTCATGTAGAAATTATTTGAAAACTAAGTGAATACATTCTGACAGATCACCTCAAAATCAGGTACAGTTCCACAATGTAAGCGGTGGTTAGTCCATGATTCTCAGTATTTCAGAGGTAAATTTACATTAGAGTACGTCTTTGCTGACGTTTGGAATTATCATAATATGTATCTTATTTGAAAAAATCAGTCGTAACAACAGATAACTGCAAAATACAACAGCTTCCATTAGTTTACTAACAAAACTTGGTAAACACACTGACGAGCAATTAGGAATTAAACTTATGAGCACTATATTCCACTAGTAGATTTTTGGAAAAAAAGTGATCAGTCTTGCTACTTATGAAAGATTACTTTGCAAACCTACGTGGATTGTGTGCCTGTTGTTTGGTTAATGAAAAAAATCTAAAGTTCCTTTGATAAGTTACGTTAAACATCAGTGAATAAACTTCTGAGGAGAGTTAAACAGAGAACCAAGAGAGTTTATCAGTGTAGTTTTTTGTAACATTCAAGAGGCCAAGCATTTATCACAAACAACTTACTTCTCTCATATCACCATCTCTTCTGAAATTGGAATCTCCTGTGGTTCTGTTTGTTCTGTACTCATTAGTTTGGTCGTCTCGATGAAACGGCATTTTTGAGTGAAGTCGAAAATTAACAAGTGTTTACTTATCACACTTTCAAAATGTGGACCAACAGAAGGTTCAACTAAAACAATTTAAAACAAAACTCCATTGATAATTGTTCAACAATGAAATAGAAAAAATAGAAAAACTGAACAGGTATCTTCTGAAATTGTGAATGTTTAAGAATGCAGTTGAATGTCATTCACTTATTAGTGTTAAGGAATATGATCATACAGCTATGAAATTTATTGAGAAATGTGAATACTATGACATTTTATTATGACGACTGCTAAAATTATCGCTGTCACTTTTTAAGAACTTTAATGTATCAATCAAACCATAGTGAAATCTCGGAAGCCATTTTACAGAGATTCACTACCAGGACATATCTCTTATACCACTGCTGTTGGAGTGACTGTCACGTAATAAATCTTACATGGTACTGAAATACACTTAGTGTTTAAATAAAAGATCAAACTGGGTTAGTAAGAATAGCATTTAACCAACTGCAGATCCATTAGGCTGCATGTACGCATCCTACCAGAAACGTAAGACGTATCAGGCACTTTGTGCTGGTAACTCGTTCTTCCTCAGAGTCTGAAAGTTCAGAGAGCTTAAGTCACAACATCTTTGCCCACTACTATCTTGTCACTTATTAAATCTGAATATGTGGCTTGCTAGACAAAATTTTTAAATAAATGATGCTTTTCGAATCAAATTAATGTTCAAACGGGACAAATAAGTGAATGACTGCAGCCACTGCAATTGAAGCAATTTTTGTTTCCACTGAATTACTCTACAAACCACTTTTCAATGTCTTGTCAATTAATTAAGCATTCATCCCTTCCCAACAACAACTTCATTTACCATCAAACAGAACAAGATAAACAAAGTATGATGTATTTGGGGTATATTTAATGGAAATTAGTAGCGAGCGAGTGTGTGTGCAGACTGTTTTCCATAATTATTGTGGTGTTTTTGAACCGCAACTTACAGGTTAGCTGACAGTATCGGACTCCTGCAGTTGAATTAGCGAACCGGATTATCCGGCTGGTCGCAATCGGAAGAAAGTTATGCAAAGGTTAACTTCCTCTTGGTTTATTCTTCTTTCTTTATTGGCCGTCATGGCATCATCACTTAGTTGTTTTCTCTATCATATCCATTGGTCCTACCCCAGATTTTACAGCATCCAATTAGCTAAGGCCACAAACATCTGAAACACTGTAGGGTAAAAAATTAGTTCGTCCATTCATTTGAGTCCTTTAGCCGTTTTTCTCTCAGTGGTAAGTATTTTTATTTGCGCTTGCTGGACCATTATCAGGCAGTTGGGTCTTCAAGGGACTGTGAGCTATCATGGATTGTATATCTCTGTACTCTCTTCATGCTATCATTAATGGACATATAGCTGAACAACTGTAAGTGTTATATTCTCCCTTCTCCATTTAAAGCAGCGTCAAGAGCAGCGAAACAAATAAGTTGTTCAGGTACCGTGGCCAAATTTCAGGTGTAGCGGTAACTCCATTTGGATAAGATTTTATTTTGATGAGTCACGCAGTGTTGTACAGTTATATTAACTGATGGTTGGCCACAGAACAATCGTAATCGTTTAATCGGGATGAAAGTGACAGCATACAACCTTGAAGTCACTCAAGCGGCACGGCTGACTGGCTTTTCAAGACATACTTTTCGCAGTTCATATTTAGGTTATTATTATTATTATGATTATTGTCAGCTGTTAATTATAATACGTTAATCTAAACACCACTGCTTTATACGTCATAATTCGAGCAAAACTGCGGCCAAGTATAGCACCGACCGCACGGTGGGCTCATGCTGTGTTGTCACGATGAACTTTGAAAGACAGTTGAGGTGTTAAAAGGATAGTAATAGCGTGGAATGGAGTAACTGTTACTCCTATATTTTTAGAATATTTCTTTTTATGAAGATCCTCTTCGAAAATAAGTAGCAATCCCTCTCAGTACATAAGAAGTGTGATGTCGTGGTTATTTTCATTCACTGTTCACTCTATAACAGTAGCCTATAGTAACTGCATATTCTTTAGCATTGTAATCTGAACTTTGCAAAGTCCACCTGGGGAAGTTGTCTTATAATGAGCGGCTAAATATGAATCATAAGTGTACCATGCACACTAATCATAGTCTCAGATACGCGATGGAAGCTACAATGCGTTTACGGTCTGAAAACTAATGGTTACTGTGACCGATACATTTTCCGAAACATGTGCACTGCACGTAGTAATATGTACGCGTAAGCTACTCCTCTGTAGGAAGTCATTAATAACGGTCAGTAATGTAACGCTTACTCTTCACGTCCCCATCCAATCTGTTATCCAGATCATCTGATACCCCTTTGGTGCAGTTAGTGTTCTTACCCATTACGCATGACGGTGCGAAATGCACCCGTATCATACCCGTGGTTGAGCAATTTTAACTGTGAACTTCATCAGAATGGGTATAACTACCAAAAAGTGCAGCCGTGTCTCACTCCAAATATGATTCCTTTGATGTGTAATGAACGAATTAGTCCATTCTGGATGAAAATAAAAAATCACCTGTGCTTCATACATACTTGATTGCGGATAACTAACTTATGCCTGAGAATCCATTCCTCACCAAAAGCCTGAATCTAACAGAATAATTGTTACGGTATTATTGGCTCTCCGTAATCAATTAATAACATGAAAATTGAAAAGCAAGTGAAATGCTAAGCCGTCAAATCTTCCGAACAAAACTTAAGTTCTTACTACGCTTTATTTCGCTTAGGGCATGTCTATCTAACCATCAATTCATCCAGAATACCATTATGCTTCTAAGCAACATAATGGTCATCGTGATACTATGCACTGATTACTTTGACTGCAGGAGCCCAAAACTGATTCAATATTTCTAATTTTCACCAAAGAGGCCACAATAGTACTTCTTTAGGCATGATTACGATAAACCATACTGAGTGCGGAAAAGATCGGGATGGACTTTACCCTCACTCAGTGGTAATTTTACCCCACTCTCAAATAAACGCATTCCTCCCACGAATACATTTGAATATCTTGATACGAATGAAAATCAACAAAATATTTGGTTGCTGAAGAAGAAAAATGTCCGGCCATCGTGTCAGAATATTAGGAGTAGTAATAATAGCACGCACCTGTCTTGGATATTTTAAATTTAAGTACACAATATCTCATATGATGTGGCTCTTTAATTGGGAATAGCGGCGGTGTACATAATATTCGCAGATAATTCTTTTGAAAGTGGTTATTCCTTTTGTCAGTGTTCCATATCCTGGGAGGGAGAGGACGAAATGAACTAGAAAATGTGGCGAAATTTCGTGTGTTGAGGGCTTTTTTTGATGGTTAGCGCAGCTGACAAACTAGTTTCATTTCAGATAACGAACTGACATCGTTCAGATAGTCACTGAAAACCCAGGACTACTGAACTGCCGCTTCTTCTAAGTTTTAGATTTCCCATCAGCATGAAGTGACGCAGGAAAGATAGGTTATATAGAGTTACCATCAACCATTCAGCCACCAAAATGGGAGTTAATAGCTGATGAATTCTAACTTTTACTGATTCGCTTCATCGCCAGCGTGCATTAAAAGAGATTATTACTTCCCCAAACGTGAGGAAATGGACGCCGCTGGTCTCAGTTTCTCGCGGAAAGTCCGGGAACTACATTCTGCAATCAATGGTAGGTGTGCGGTTAATTTTTAAATGATTTTCAGGGAATTGAATGCAGTTCCCAGAGTTCCGCAGAGAGGTCGTTGCTGCAGTTGGGGCACCAAAAGCTGTCGCTAGAGGTGGCGCAATAATGGTGAGTTATCGGATTTCCGTCCCTTTTGATGGTAGTCAATGAGCTGCTGCCTTTAAATCCTGATGAAGCGATGGGCATGCATTGCTGAGGATTCAAAATGTCAGCAATCAGCTTCACTGTAGTGCCGGGCTTTCTGTGGCCTTCTGGTGCCGCTTCATGATTAAACTCGTAACCGACTAAATCTCTGGTAACCTATTAACTGGTGCCTACTCAGGCATCATCCATTTTGCTTAGGTCAACTTTTTCCCCAGAATACACATACCTTCCAAATGCGGTTAGCACTAACCTACAGGCGGATTTTGGACGTAAATATTTGCTGTTTATAAAAGTTTTATCCAGAAGAACACATCGAACCGACCCCTACCGAATTTGTTCCGAAAACACAATACATTTACTTGGGATGACTTCCAAGATTGCAGACCAAAAGTCGGCTTTGTATTTTAGTGGACAGTTGAGAATACTTACTCTGCAGCCTTTGAAGTCAGTATATTTAATTATTGATGTGATTCATTCCTCGGATAACGAGTAGAATAGTGGGTTTCGGCTTCCCCACTCCATTTTATTCTACTACCTGCCATCGTATCCACCTGGCGCCATAACTGTAATCGCTCTTACACCTCTTCCTCAAAGGACCTTCAATATATAAGCCCCCAATCATCAACCCTCCGCTCCTCATTTGCGTTTCACTTGCCGAATGTGGCAGCATTCGAGACTTACAGTGAAAATGTTCATACATCCTTATATTCCCTTTTGCATCAGTTTGACAATACGTTTGTGGTTGCTTCGTTGCCAGACATGTTAATTGCTTATGCGTTCTGACTTGATTTTTTAATTTGTTTCATTTTTGATTACAGCTTGAAACCACGCAGTATTTTTGGTACAAGTATGGAATTTACAGCATGTGATATCGGTAGCCCAATTTTGCAGGCCGACCATTGATATCGGGTGTGCGCCGGCAGGGGATCGAACCTCGGACCATGTGTATGATCGGCGAGAGTCTAAACCGCTGTGCCACCACTTGCTATCCTACGTCCGATATCGAGGCTGTAAAGGCACACACAGATGGAAGTCTGCAGCCCTTTGAAAATGCTTTCGTTGGGAGTATAAAACCTTTAACTACTGACTTGACTTTACTGTTGAAAAGAAATACCTTATCGTAAGTCGAGACTGCTTTAGACCTCCTTGACGATTCCAGAGCAATGAAAGCCTTCCCTGCTTTCACTGTCCATTTTCGACCAGCTTCGACATCTCGAATGCTGCCTTCAGTTGAGACTGTTCTGATTATGTACGTGGAAAAGGTAATATCCATTGAGATTTTTCCAAACGAAGGTTACTGCCACGTGTTATTTTAGATTTTGTATCTCTGACTCCTCCATCCTTAACATCTTCCTCTAAATTCCTATCTTCATTACCTTTTCTATCAGACTGATGGCAGTTAGTGAACTTTGCAAAGCAAGATTCATTAGTTGCCCGGGGAGTTGTAATTTTCCAGATACTATATGTCAGTCCAGTGCATACTCATACTCCCACATCTCACTGTCTGCCTTGTTATCTAGTTTACCATGAAAAGCAGTATCACCAGTGGCAGTAAGTAACCTTATCTTATTTCTGTCTTCACAAAAGCCTCGATGAGCTCAACGTCACGATAACAACTGGCCTGCAAAATTTTAGCTACCAATATAACATGCCGAAAATTCTATACGTGTACCAATAACACGGTATAGAATCAAGCTATAATCAGAAATATCTGGCACCGTCTTGAGGAAGTTTGATGCGGTTTGTAGATGTTTCCAGCAATGCACTCTGTAGAGTTCAAGCGTTTTTTGACAGCTCGAGAATAAAAAATTAGTCTGGATTCTCAACAAAAAAGTAATAATAAGGGTTGTACAGATCTAATTATAAATAAAAAGTGCTTTTTCTCCTACCATCTACAAGCCTGTTCAGCTTCTTGTCATGATGCTACCCGTTGGGTCCTACAGAAATTCGTGAGGCATCGCACAGGTCAGCTTGTTCTACGGCTTCTGATCTTTCAGATCTTTGAATCCACTTCTCACTTAAATATCGCTTACCTACCTCACACTAATCTTTTTATTTGCGCACTATTATACTCTACTCTATCTTACCTACCTAAGCCTTTACTGAAGCTGAAACCTGCTCTTTATTCATATTTGTTGCTTGCTTTGATTAAAAACACAACAACACCAATGTTTGAACAAAGCTATATTTTCATCGGAAACGTGACAGTTTCCATGCTTAGACCAATATGGTTAGCATTAAACATTGCAAATGTAAACTATCATTTCAAGTACTGTATAGTTTATTCTCCTTGTATTTGTTTTGTAAATATACTTCCTATAGTGTATTATTCATAATCGCATTTTATACCATTTTGCAGCTGTGCAGAATTTTCTCCTCTTCCTGAAATAGCGTTCAATCACGTGGCGGCATAGCACTCACCCAGATATAGGCTGTTCGCTGGTTGACCATAACGATCAGCAGGAAAAGGAACGAAGTTTGGGTTGTCGCTCAACTTTGGTGGTGACCTTAGTGAACGGTTTACAATTTAACATTTATAAGATCCTGTTCTGATTGCTTGTACAATAATCAAACAATTCAAACTTTTGAAAAAGTATTAATTTATGATACTTCAGGATTGCAATTTGTAACATAACTGGTCGCGCCTGTGAAATGGCATGCATTTCTTGTAAACTTACCCGTTAATACGAAGTATAAATTATTATTATTATAGAAATTACTCACAGTCGTACTTGGTAAAGCCCTTTCTAAAGTTGATAGCGTTGATTATCACATAAAATTTCTTCACATAAATGAAGAAATTTACTTGGTGTTCACAGTTGTCTGCCACTAAAGGCTTTGTTTAGGGTTGTGTGATGTTGAGACATATTCTGTGGACGACTGGTTTTTCTTAAATCCACACTAATCAGCCAGCCGTTTCTTTTGTTTCCACGGATTTTTGATTGGGTTTCCTACGAAATCTTCCACTTTCTCCATTTCCACCGACCACTCAGCCGGCGTTATTCCGTTTCCTTGATCGCAGGCAAGTCTATGTTTTTTATATCATATCTATGTCTTGAAGTTTTTGTGGTGGTCAGGCTAATTTTCCTCGAAGGTGTTTCCAGATGCAAGCACGATCTTCCTTAGAACCGGCTTATGGACCATTCGATATTATATCTTTGAATATTAATATTAGATCTAGTATATGGCTTGTGACATTTGAAGAGCAGTTGCCACAAATTTTCCATAAACATTCGTTATTTTGAATTTTTATACGCTAGTAACTCCTTCTGCATTCATTCCCCGGTTTCACCATATTTTGTTTTCTCTTTCCAATGCTACCCTTCTGATACAGGATACGTGGACAGCACTGCTAACTTCTGCTTGAAATTGTAATAATATTGGCATTTCATTTCCCGTGAGCTACACATTCAATATCTTATTTATGACTGCCCTGCCTCAGAATCCACTGTTACTTTCGGAACTAAATCCAAATAAGCGCTAACGTCATATGACAGAATACGCTTATAGAAACTGTCCTCGGTAAAACATTCACAGAAATGATGGAAACTTTAGCTTTAAAACCACAATATATCTTTGGCAGATTAGAATTCCTCGGGTTATTTCTGTCACCAAATATATCTAAACTGACCTTAAGACTGTAGGACACTGATTTCATTGTTTATATGCGACGCTATACTAGCCAAAGTGAACAAATGAGCTCAAGCAACATTACGCTTTAACCGAAAGAGCTTGAATATGTAGGCGCACTGCGTACAACTATTACATACAGTATACACTCTACTGATGAGGCGTTTTTCGGGAAGTCTGAGCTAACGTATTCTCGACATAATATAGTCAATGGTTATGCAGTCATTTGACATACAATGTGCACATGAGAATTGGTACGAGTATGAAACGGGTCACAAGATATTATTCGCAGAACGTTTCATTTCATGATGTAATTTCTTTAGAGTGAGGCAAATGTGGGCACAAGTTACTGAAAAGTCTTCGAGGAAATTTCAATTACCCTGTAATATTTCATAAACTTCCACAGATGTTACAAAAGGCTAACAAGGAGCAGCAACGTACTACTTTTGAATACACTTTGTCTATGCCGGAATCATAGTCTACTTCATTGTCCAAGTTCTAGTATTATGATTTGCATATATTGGTTTAATTTCTCTTCATTGATCTCTCTTCCCTATGTGGTTATAGTTATGAGACATAATCAAGTAGTTTAGGCAGATTTATAGGCTTGATCAAGGTCCTGATAAGTAGTAGCCAAAATGAATCGACAGTGTCTGAACGGAAACACAATGCCGCATAGTGACCAGCTCACATCCTAGAAAGTAGCAGTCCAGGATGTCATACACCTGTCACAAACATACTGAATGGAACACAAGAATGGTGGAGGAAAAATCTTATTTCAATGCAGTACAAATGCAGTTTTTTATATATATGGTCTGAGCACAATCAGTAATGAAATTCTCTATTCTCGAATTTTATCCCATTATTCTCAGAAACCATCCAGAATCCAGACTACAACGCGTTTAGACTATTCTTCGGTCTAGACAAACAGAACTGGACACATACATCCAGAGTTATTCGGTGTCACAGAATGGAACAAAAAATACCCACATGATTATCAGTAAACGAGTGGAATCACCTCTCCTTGGTGGTGTTGTATGTAGAATCAATTCCTTCAACCGTTCACGCAACTCTATTTGGTCGTAAGTCGCAAAACGCACACTCTTCAGTGGATTTCGGTTGACTTCATCTGCCTCTTGTCTCCACCAGCTTCCTATTGGGTTTAAGTAACTGTAGGATCTCATTACAACTCGAAATTGACAGAAGTAATGCGGATTAAATTCGCAGTACAATATTCTGTGGGATATCATTGGCTAGCGATAATGGTTTATTCACGTAAATTTATCATTTACATGATGAAGATGCCTTTTTCTCAGGCATGATCATATCTATTTTAAATATGCAATAAATCCTATTTTCTAAGTTTACATTTATTTGGAGATGTGAATCACATTATTGGTATGAAGTTTCATTAGATAAGCTGAGTCTACTTAATTGCGCCCATATAATATCATTGATTGCTGGTAATCGCGACAAAATCACACTATAGGAATACGCTTATCAATGTTTTGTTAGTGGTCTGAGGAGCCGAAATATTAGAAAGAAAGGGATACTCTAAATAAACGTCGTATGAAATTGTCTCACTACAACTGAAGAATATACATAAAGAGGACGAGTGGTCCTCACGTATCGACCTTAAAATCACATAAGACAGTTCACCTTACGACTTATTTCTCAGTTTTAAGCCTCATTTTTGGCGTCACACTAAAAATATCCACATAAAACCTCACGTAACGGCGACTATCTGCGAGAAATCAAACGTCCCTTTGACTACTACTGTCTTAGCTAATGAACGGTATGAAAAGAAATTAAGCGGAATTAAAAATGCAACAATGAATCGTATCATTCATTAATGCCTGTTCAGTCTAACCTAATTTTCTTCAATTGTTTTAATTTGCTCAAGGTGTCCTCAAGTTATATAAATATAGTATGATTATTCGTGTACCAGAGATTGAATCCATTTCAACATGCCATTCAAGTTTGGAGATAAGAAGGGTTATTATGATGCCAATGAGGCAGGAGGTAATTCGCGAGCGCCAGCTTTTGGCAGTGGTGATGGTGGGTATTACGGTAACACCGGTCCTCATGACTATGATAATAACATGAATGTAAGTCTATCTTTTAAATAAAAAATCGCAGTAGTTTAACCTAATGAATAATCAGAATTTTTTGTGGGAACTAAACATGAATTGGTGAATCCATGCACATGGGTCATTTCGCTCTTTATAATTATGTTTTATTAATGTTTCATGCTTCTTCCCACTGTTGCATGGCATATGGAAGGGCATAAAACTCCGAATATCTTGAATGATATTCAATCTAGTACTGACTTCTTGTGCACTGCAGAATGTTTGAGGCAGTTTTTTTCATTTTCAAGTAATTCAATTTACTCGGGTGACTGCAACCATACAACTAAGTCTTTCACATATTGTAGAAGTCCAGTGCATTTGACAAAAGCAACTGCGCATAATTACGAATATAGGAATTTAAGGTAATTACTTTAATAGCTTTAGTCTGCATCATATAGGCTTAATTACTCATTCGTTATTATACCGATAATGGTAGCAGCAATAACATCAACGTTTTTCTAGACAATAATTTTCACACAGAATTAAATTTTCTGCACTTATATACTGAATAACTTTTACGCTTTACACGGTCAAGATCAAATTGGTAGGTGAAGGAAACATCGAATATCTACTAGTTCAGAAAATTCATTCACTGTAATACCATGAGAAGTGTAAATTCTGTTTTCTTTGGCATGGTGCTATCGGAAGTTGTATGGCAAATTCTACAGCAACATTCAGAAAATGTATTTCGTTGATATTATATTTTCACACATGGAACATTTATAGCAAACCGATTTTATTACCTTATGCCAGACAGTTGTTGTTACAGGGGATCGTTTAAAATTTTAGAAGCGATAATAAAACTTCAGGGCTGTTAGTTCTACAAATGTTTAGACATTTTTACCAGTTTCTAAGCTTTAGCGCCAGATGTAGCAATTTTATGCTGATTCTTAAATTTGTCACTGAATGTGACAACTAATATGTCATGTCTTTTAAAAAATAACATATAACAGATATTTTGCAACAAACTTACACGACACTGTTAATATTCGTTTCAGCAGAACTATGGTGGTGGTGCTCCAGGAGCTTTCGGAGGAAATCCGATGGGTGGACGCAATTTCGGTAATCGACAATATCCTACTGATTGCTATGGCACGAACAGAAGAAATAGTGGAAGTTCAGACTCGGTAAGACATTTCACATAATTACAGTGGTACGATGAATTTAGTATATTTTACTATTCTTTTTCATCTAAATCTCTAAGATAGCTCCCCAAAACGTCTCCAGAGTATGCATGCATTCATTTCAGCACACAATAAGGGAAGTTTCCAATGTTTCTTACTATTCCAGGTGTTTGAATTTGTGTCTTATTCACTGGATTATCTTCTTGTTGAATATATATTTGCCACAGGTTAAGTCGTCAAAAATTTCCAGTCTTCTTTATTTTTCAACCCAGTAAATTTCTTCGCTTAACGAGAGAAGCTTTCATTCTTGCAGCTTTGGTTGAGCAACTTACACCATCACGTCTCTTGATAAAGTTGTTGTCAAATGTGAAAATTGGGTTTATTTTCTCTAAAGGTGATAAATAGGTTGAAATAATATCCCGCTCTTCATGATTAAGAGAATATTTTTCAAAAATAGGTACATGTAGTAATTGCAATAATAGGTTCATTATCGGAGGTTACCGACAAAAATGGCTCATTTATTAACGCGTAATAATTATAAGTTATTACATATATTCTATTGTTAATTATATATTAATTTTCTCGTAGGACCATTCGGATCGTGGTGAAGGACATCGAAGAGGATCTTCAAAGCACAGAAAGTATGAGTTTTATTTGCTTCCCATTCTCTCTAGGTCTGTTAGAGTATTTTACTTACCGCTCAAAAATTATCTAGTTTCACTTGACATATAGTTGACAGAAGATGGCAAGTTATTTAATGAAGCTGCACGCTGTAAAATGGACTCTGTAGTCTTGCTTCTGATATCATCGGTAAAAACAATTACTGCGTAGATCTGACTGCCTGAAATGCTGAGTTTAGGATTTTCAAGTTAATTTCTTTAATCACAACATACAATGTTATTGTTATCGGATTGTTTACTTCAGTTAGCCTTGAGACTCCGTGAGTACTGAGTTGTTAATACAAGCTACTCTCCATGTAGCAAGAATCATGAAGCAAACTAAATACACAAAGAATATAGTATCTAAGAAATAAAGCAACTTTTATCAAGGTTCATGCTTAAAGATTTGGGATTCAGGAGAACATGGTTAGTCGATCGAATGAATTTGATCACCATGAAAATATCAGTGGAATATTGCATACACTAACTCTTTTATGTGTCTACTAACAACAAACAGTAGGAATGGGAGGAATACTCTCACCACGAAATGAGAACAAATCAGCTGTGCAAAAATTTGTCTCACATTCGAGAGTGTGCAGCTGATGGGTGAAATTTATGATCAGTAAAAATACAGTAAACTTATTCTAGCTGTGATCAAACTTTCCAAATTCATACTCTTTGATAAATTCTAGCAAACAATCAGTTCTGGAAAATCTGAATATAAGACAAATAAGTTGTAAGAAAATTTTAGCAAAACAGCTAACAGTAAGGGCTCAAAAGTTATTTATGCATAATTTAACTTTGTTTGCATTTGAATGGAGTCTAGGTAAAGTCTAAGATAAGATAGTGAGACACAGCAGCAGTTCATAAATACAGGGAGTTTTGGTTCCAAGGCATACAGGACATTTCCTCCTGTAATTGTAAGCCTCAATAATTCTGTCTAGTCATTGGTCGGAACACCGCATATGAATCCACTACGTTCACTGTGTTACTGACTATCACGTGTAATATGGCGTAAACATGCGGAATTATAGGTACCATGTGAGATGAAATATTCATCTTTGTTTCTACTTTTGGCTGCTCATGGTTAATATTTTTATTTCAAGATGCTTGAATTATTTCATAATAATATTTGAGCTGCACAAAAATGCACACTTTCAATACCATCACCATCAAACACATGAGTCTTAATTTATTTTTGATTTAAGTGTATGATTATCTATTCTGAGTATGTTCAATGATAGTGAGTTGACAGCATTCTGATTTGCATTTCTGACTTGTGGTTGTTAAAGTTACTTCAAATGTGAGCCAGAATTATGCAACTAGAAGCTCCACTTTTCCACACGCATTATTCGGAAACTAGCATATGCCCATTCCTTTGTAATGATTATTAGAAATAATAAGTATGAGGAAAGTATCATAGTATATACTATGATACGTTCCGTTAAATATTTAACTGCCTGGGACTTAGTGTTACTTGTTTGATGAAATCAGCGATGAAATCAGTGAGTTTGCTGTGGGAAGTTAACAAATACCCCTGTTCTTAAAACCATCCTCTCTAAATAATTTCAACCATTCCTAAAATACCTGTCATTTTATCCTTGTTTCAGTTTTACTGTCTCAGGGGTTGTCGCATCCACCTGTCCAAAAAGGACGATTAATGTTTCGAAACTCGTTTGATAATCAAACACACTAGTAGTTTAATGGTTATAATATGATTTTTTTAACAATATACTGTCACTAAATCTTTTTCAATACAGCCGAGGAGGGTTTGGCATAAGTCATCGACGTCACTCAGGTGATCGTCATTCGAGTTCTGAGTGAGTGATTTACTTAAATTATAACTAATTAAAATTGTACCCATTATTTTCTCTCACTCTTGTTGTGCTCTGTATATAGATGAGCGTATACGTTATTGTAGTGCAGCTTTATCGTTTGTAAAACGAGAGTATCAGAATTAGACAGCTACTTTAATTTCTCCCTTTTATTTCATCTACATTCTTTTGATGTATTTTGCATTTGGATTTCTATAATTGCGGGAATATCTCCTACCAAACATGCATAAGTATATGATTCCACACACTCTTTTCTTGTCTCAATAAAAGTCCGAACTCGTAAATTGCATACTGAACCTTAAGGTTATAATAATGTGCGAACCTCGCCTATCATTTAGATGCCTACTAAATTTATGTAGACTCAACATTTTTACCTAAATAAACAATATCTGGAAGGTGAAAGATTTTAACGAAAGTATCTTAAAGATTAGATTAGGCTGCAATAATTTCTGATAAGGAAGTACTACATCTTTGTTTTTTATGCTAATAATTATGTGACAGACTATTGATAGAAGCTGAAACGGAAAGGTAGGCAGTATCACGGTATGAAGCTGCTGACTTGACTGAAGAATTTTACTTCATATTCAGTCACTATTTAGTGAACAAATATATATGTATACAGATGGTAATGAAAGTGATATGATTCCCAAACTGTAGGATATTTGGGACAGAAATTAGGGAAAACAGAGCGGTTAACTCATCCTGTAAATGCTTTGTCATCTTATCTTTTACCTGCGAAACGGATTATTTCTTTGGCTGTTCGAATTCGGATATTTTCAGTAAAGTAAACTGTTGAACCTGTCATACTCAAACTAAACACTGTGATCATTCAAAGAGGGGAGACTTTTATTCTATTATTACTTAGAGCTAATTCACCAGGACCAAACCTTTTGTGTGTAGTAGTGTTAAAAAGACCAACTACATACATCATGCACTGTTTTCTCGAATAACTCAGATATATGACAGAATTCGTCAATAAAGTTAGTCTTAATAGTCAGGGTATTTTTCTCAGATAATTTTGATAATTGCGTATAATTATTTACGTCATTTAAATGTAATACTACTTCCTCTGTACAGTGAAGGGAAGAAGAACAAAAGATGGCACTGAAAGTCACTTCTTACCGATGACCACCTTTGAGCTTTCTTTGTTCGTCAATGCCGGTCAGTAATTTTTCTAAAAATAAAACGTTAATAAAAATGTGTGTATATCTATTATGCCAGAAAATAACTGAGTGCTTCAGATGGTATTTTTTCACAGACAAATAGGAAGATTTCGATGTTTGTGCCGTATGATTTGTTTTTATGCTGTCTTAAAACTTATTACCCATTAACGAATTTTATTTTTCACTCACTGAAACATACCAACGTGCTCTATTCAGAAGTTAAGCTAGATACTGAACAATGGCAAGGCTATCGCAGTGGTTGCTCACAAGGTGTATACAATTCATCCTACGGCGTGTGACTAGACATATGCATATGAGTTTGCAGTTTCGTAAAATGTTGGAAGAAGACCACTCTGACAGCTAAAATTTATCAGAGAAACAGTTGACGTGTTGAAACATCAGCAGTATTTGTTAGTGATCACTTCCCGATATGTATCAAACACTGCTAAAACAACAATGAACCATCTATTCTCAAATGCATAGAGTATAAGTAACTGAGTCCAAATGCTTTAAGAATTTCATATCATGATGACTTGATCTTAGATCGAACAAAATCCTGTATCAGACATGGTTATTGACTTATTTTCTTTCTACATTGATGTTATTAGTTATCAGCTCAGTAATTCCTATTGCCTCACTACTCATAATACAGTAAAGCTTTATAAAAAATAATTTTGGTATTCGCAACTAGAAAATCTGTCACTGAGATATAAACAAACTGGGCAAATCCACGTGAAAAAACATTTTAGGAGAATAAATTATGTCCTAAGGGGGCTGAGATACTGCATGGTACAAGAACAGGACCTAGCTGCAGGACAGATATAATGCATTTCTTAAACACATTTAGACTGACTAATACCTCAGCAGGATAAGTTATTTACAGAACAATCCTGATGATCACAACCAACGACTTAATCGTCATGGAACCTCAGTTTTCGACCATGAAGTGTGCTACTGAAGCTCTAATTGCACAACAAAACATGGCCTTCCAGCGCCAGCTTCATAATACAATAAGACAGTCAGCTACTTGATACCACTAGATAATCCGTTCATTGTAAAACATGCATTAAATGTAACTCCTGTTGTCAGAATTCTTTTGCACATTTCAAATAGTTATAAGAGAAACTGGGTGTAATTATTGATATGAAGTCCACAACTCGTTGAAACTTTTGAAAGTATCATAAATCGGCACTGACACATTTAGAAATCCGGGAATTTGTATACTGTGAAGTTAGGACTTCACCAAGGTTTGCGTATAGCTATTTGAAACAATATTTTCTCACCTTAGACATTATAGATACCTGAATAAAATGCCCACTGTTTACATTTATGATTTTCAGATAACGAACGTCGTTTACTTTGATCTCAATTAGAAAACCAAATACAGCACAATAACTACCATGGATAGAACTTATATCTATGTTTATATACTCACAATTTCACATAAACTCAACTTTCTCCCTGTTGTTTTGTAAAATATACAGTTTTCTGTAGCGCGTTAAAGTTCTTTAAATTATGATTTTGATAGTATTCGAAGAAGTAAGTAGATGATAGGCGTCTCAAATACTTGAAGTGTGTAAAAAAGGTTCCACTTTCAAAACTCTGCAAGCTGTGAACGCTTGACAAAATTGTGTAACACAGTCCCGTAAATCTTAGTTAAAAGCGTATAACTCTCAAAAATCAGAATAAGCGTATTGACAGTTGTATCATTTCTACACTCCATTTCTAAGGTTTATGCATTATATTATCGCTTGTTGTTTAATTGGGATTAAAATAAATATTTCGCTGCCATTCACATTACCTTTAAAAATCATATACAATTGTAGAGCTTGATAATGAATCAACTGAAAATATTTTCTCTAATGGACCATCTATTTTATTTTCCTTATAAATTCATATGACTATATTGGGTGGATTTAAGCGACATCCTCTTTAGGGAATGTGATAGATATTTATTAATACGATGCTTTAAGATTCGCTTGATTTTGGTGTTAAGACAGCTGCAATTGAAAAGTGTACAGAAGGTAGACATCATAAGAAAACTCCCTTCATGTGAGATTAGATGGTAGATAAAGTAAAGTTGTTGTTGAGAATGCGTTAAATCCTTAACAAAAATGGAAAGACATGGTGTATAGAAGTTCCAGGAATCTGTAAGAGCATATGAAATAGAAGTGGACTCTCCAATTTGTTAAATGTATAGTCTGTAATCTAGTTCAGTCACTCACTCAGACTGCAACCACGAACACACTCAGGGAGTGGCTATATTAACTTCACCAACATCACCGAAGGTTCCTATGCAGTGAGAACCGAATAATGACAGCTAAATTCAACTCCAGTTATGTGGTGCTACACGCCAACAAACAACGCAGTGATATTGGAGAAGATAGAAGACTTCTATAAATAAACTCAAACAGTAATAGACAGGACATCAAATGGCGACATTAGAATTCTAATGAGTTATATGTATGCAATTCACACTGGAACCAGACAACGCAGGAATCGAACGCATCATGGATCAAGAGGCTGTCGGTTAAATGAAAGAGAATAGGAAACTCTTCGCGGACTCCTGCACTTTCGACGCAGTACCGATTAGAGGCAGCACGTGTGAGCACAAGGATACACAAAAGACGACATGGGTTTCACCAGATGGAGATACAAAAAAAAGAAAGGCATCACCACCATTTCAAGAGAGTAGAGACATAACCTTATGGACACAAGGTCGGTGCGGTGATTGACAATTTCTATCTCTTTATTGTTTAAATACTTACTGTTGTTTGTTAATATATTTATCATATGAATTGAAAAGAATTCCGCCAAATACAAATTCCTAAATTCATCCCTCTCTGTGTTTTTGGTTGAATTCCTGTAATACGGCCATTGCGAAATACTACTATTGCAAATAATTATAACAGTAGACGCGGGCGCAAACTATTCTCTAGTACAAAGAAATTTAAATTCAAGTTGAAAGGCTTCAAAGAAGATAGAGATAAGCCACAATTCAGGAAGTGAAGTCATCGAAGATAAGTTGGAGACATGGTGTGCCATCACCGAGGAAACCTGCATGGAGGACCACCAGAACTCCCCGAAAGTTATGTCGGCGGACATTTGTAAAGTCATCTTATGAAGAAAAGATAGGGAAACAAGGAATGAATCTTTACGGATACATAGAAGCTAATGGAGAAAAGGGATATAACACAGGATGAACCAGTACAAAGATGAAAAAAGGAGAATCTGAGTTCACCCTAACTCTCACTGAGCAAATTACTGAAGAAGGGTGCTAGGAAAGACAAATGACAATTTTACGACAAAACGAAAACCGAAACAGCCCAGGTTGCAGGTAAGAACGACCTCACAGGACTAAATCAAATAACCAGGTCGCTCTGTTGGAAAAAATCGACACAGATGAAACCAATGAAAGATAGTAAAAGAAACCCGATTACATTAGGGGAGCAGCAAATGAAACAAAGGGCTGCTAACATCAAAGGACTCTTTAACTGGAAACCAACTGAAACTCGTTCAGAAATGAAACCGACAGCCACAGAGCTACCAAGAAACACGGAACCTCCATAATAAGTAGAAGTCTTGAATGGTATAATGTTACTAAAAGCACGGAATTTAGCAGGACCGAAGGAATTCCTCAGGATCCACAGATGATGGATTCTCAGAGCTCAGTGGAAAGGTTCATGCCACCATTGTAGAATTTGTGGGAGGAAATGTGTGTGTGAATTGAAAAGGGCTACCTTAACGAGGGATGTAGACTTAAGCCTCTACGACTATTGATCTGGGCTCTGCTCCCGTCTACCTGCAGAAAAATACGAAATTTCATCACTATTGAGCGACGAGTATGCCTTTTAGACTCATGACTTCGCCCAAAAAACTGATAATGCCCTAATAAGTAGTTACACGTCACATAATCGCCGAACAGAGCCCAGAACGAGCTCTGCCTCAATATCGTCAACTTTGAAAAAACCTTCAATAGCACCAACTGTCAAGTAGTTTAGAAGCTGCTTCAACGCCACTTAGTGCATTGCTGAGAAAATTTATGAACCTCATTTAACAGCTGTAGGATAATTTAACATGTCAAGTGACTCACAGTGGAAAGCTCGGTAAAGCATTTGAAGTGAATGCAGGAGTAAGAAAAGGTTATTTAATATCACCAATGATATTCCTAATTGTGGTGGATTGGATCGTGCATCACACCGTGGGAAGCTTCGCGGATGACTTATGTCACACAAACTAGGTCTACAGGCGAAAATCAACATGTCGTGAGAAGAGGCGGCGAAGGAAGCGTCTCAACTGGACATGGAGAAAAGAGGGACGATGGAGATACCCGATGACCAAGGGTAACAAGCACCAATCACTATCAAAAGGATAAATTTGAAGAAAACAACTTTCACTTATCTAGGCAGCATCGTTTCAACTAGAGGCAGAACGGATGAAAATGTCAAAGCCAGAATAGAAAAAAACACATTCATTAACATGAAATCAATGTGGAAACCTACTGTACCTAGCATCAGGAACAAGATTAGGATTTTCAGTTCTTCTATATGGCTCAGAGACTTGACATGTCACGAAAAAGATTTCAAATAGCCTGGTGGGAGCTTTTTTCAACAGTTGCTTTTGCTGGCTCCATACTAAGGATCAGATGGCCAGAGTGGAAGAATTAACAAGAAGAAACTCAGGCAACAAACCAACCAACAAATAAACAGAATGATTGGACACGGTGAGGAGAACGTTCAGTGAGATCTCGTGACAGCATATCTATTGGAACTCGAATGGGGAATGATGAGTTGGGCCTCCGAAGGTAAAAAAGAAATGAGAGCTTGTGGGCAACAGTGGAGCCAGTTGAAGAGGACTGGAGAAAACAGAATGTAATGCGGATATTCAGCTCAGTCGTTAAGTTCCAGAATGAACACGAGGAAATGAAATTAGTAACAACAACATTAAAAGTTAGTCAGTGAATGAAATTTAAAACACAACAAAAACGAAAATCAATGAATATGTATTTATACAATTCAAAGCTGAAGACGCAAAGAATCCTACATCAAATTACCTAGATGCTACGTTAGAGATGCGAGGTGATAACTTATTAGTAAGGGAGAGACACCCGAAGACAAAGATAACAGTACAGTAAATAATACTCGGCGGAATAGAAATATGAACCCAGAGAAAAATAACCGGCTAAAACAAACCAGGTATCCCAGAAAAGAATAAAAGTGCAGAGTAATAATAATGGTTTGCTTTATTCCAAAAAAGTGCTACGATACAGCATGGAATTCTCAGCATTTTACACAATATTGCATATAATTTACTCAAAATCTAAATAAAGTTAACCACAGGAGCTTGTTCACTTTTACAGTAGGAATAAAGTCAAAAATGAGAATATTAATAGAATAATAATAATAACAATAATAATAATAATGGTAATAATAACAGTTGGTCTGTTTCAAAAAATACTGTCGATGCAGCATGGAAATTTTAGCATGTTATTAAGGATTGAATCTAATATTCTCTTGATATAGCATGGTGAAGGGAAAACAATAACAATTGTTACGGAGTCTAAATGATATCTACATTTATGAGAAAATAAACAAAACAAATTGAGAGGATTATAAATACAAAAAGAATAATAACAGTAAGGTTTGGTGGAATAAGAGCAGAGAAAATGGTTTATTTACTAGTAGTAAGAAGGCTAGTTAGTTCGTGCCCGACATTATTGTCATAACATAAAATACTTGCCAAATATGGCATAGTTGAATTTTTATACTTACACGTACGTGCATAAAGTCTTCTGAAATGACTTTTTGTTTTACCAGAGGAGACACAAGGTGAAAGCTGCGGGTAAAGTGGGTGCTCACAGTCTGACAAAATCCTTCAGCAAATTTGTTGCATGAAATCAAGTGTCTATCAACGACGATGTCAACGATATGGCCCAATGGGATACCACTCACCCTGTTGACAGTCTTCAGAGTCCTACAAAGTATGATATAGTCTTTCTTAACTAACCCAGGAAAGAATAAGGGTGGACAATAAAGAAGAATAGGTAAGTTGCAGGAGTTGAAAGAAATGTAAGAGGAGAGGTTGAGTTATACCCGAGTGCCTCAACTTCTCAGTATAAAAAGTCAGACGGGATATCTCTCCTAGAAGTCGAGAAGACGTGGGCAGACCGAGATAGATCATAGGAAACAATTAGTTCAAGATATTTAACGTATGATTTGATTTCTGTATCAATATCATCAATTGTGCAACGGCCATGGGAACTAACAGCTTCATTTAACTTTCTTTTACATGGGAAACTGAAATTAACAGTCTGACATTTGGAAGGATTCAGTTTAAGATCATCAGACAAAGACCATTTGCTGACTCCTGACAGACAGCTGTTCATCTAATTACAGTCTAGCTGGGAGTTAACAGACACTGAAACGGTTAAATCGTTTGCGTGCTTAACAATGTTCATTTCATCAGAGTGAGGCAAGTCATGCAAGAAGAAAGAAAACGGAAAAGGAACAGCGCCTTGAGGGACACCAGCTTCAGTAAGCAATGAACTGGACGACTTCCCCTGACATACAGTGTACTGCTTTCTCCCTGAGAAAAAGAATGCAGCTAGTTGACAACCGAACACTCAGTATGAATTTCAGAAAGCTTATTTAACAAAATATCCCTAGGTACTGAATCAAAATAGAGGTCGAAAATCAACGCACACTGCGAAAATAAGGAAAAATTCATAGAATACAGCAATGAAAAAATACAGTAAATTAAAAAATAACAAACAAAAACAAACATATTCAACAAAAGAGAAATAACACATTACAGAGTCTCACATCATGACAAAAAGTTTTTATCACCTGCCTACATTCTACTTCTGATCACGTCTACTTTCAATTAGAGTAGATGGAAATTAACCAGCTGCGTGGTCTTCAGTCCGACTGACATGTTTTTACCTCTATGTAACCTGAGTTCAGTCACATAGGTATGAGACGATCACTGCAAGATTGACAGGTCACAACAAATTGTTGATTCATTTGTTACTGCCAACGTGCGTTATCAATTCCGCACAATGTGAAGGCCTATCGAACACAGCTGTCGAGAAAAATCCGCTCACGAATGTGATCATCACAATTTCATCAAGTCACTAAGACTATGTAAGTGATCTCTAACAATAACTCTGTGTGTTCGTCTCAACAGTTACCTCAGTACATTATGTTGTTCATTTTAGTTTCTACATGGAATTAGTCTTACTCTGCATACACATGTGATCATTGGGTTTCAACATGCTGTTCTATGCGTGATGAAGTACAGGTGAAACAAGATTTAGGAAGGTGGATGGTTGTGCTACTTCCTATGCAATCACATAAACCTTGAAAAGAATACAACAAAAGAAACATCTATTCATGCACTTGTGATCAAGTCATTTGATTACAGATCAATAGAGTTATTTATCCGCTCAGTATACTTCTCACAGAAACTCAGTATTTTATTTCGAATTCACATGACAATGAGTGGGTCGACATTCCTTCTACAAACTGTGATTATCACTGATAATATATCTAAACTACTTTTTTTTACCTCATATACCTACAGTTGTGTGATTTCACAACACTACAGTATCGGTGGAATTTCAAAGTTCCTATTTGTCAGAAGGATTTGCCTTTCGATTGACTGTATGCAACTCATCCTGCACATATCACTTTGGAAGAGTTTGCTAGTATGAGTGAGCTTTGACCAGTTCTTACCTGTCAGTGCACTTTTTATTGTTAATGTTTTTATGAGCTGCTATTTGTTTTTTTCATTTATAATTTACTTTATGCGCAATTGTGTGATTTGGGAATCTAATGTTTTTTAATCGATTTTGGTATTATATCGCTTATCACACGTCATTTATGAATTTGTAGCACTGCTGAGTGGGTTTTTCTTTGTGATGAATTTAATGGAATTACCACACAATCCCTGAAGTGTACTTAAAATAATCTTCCATACGAAGGGTTTAATCTGTTTGTTCCCTACCGTCTCAATTATACTTTCGATAAATAACTAAACTAACCAATCTTGCAATCATTCTGTTGATCTGCACACTAAAAATGAATCTTGTTTGTCAGGATGACCGAATTCTAAACATTTACAGCTTGATTTGCTTATAAAATACTCTGCTTATAATGTGATTCAACTAAATTCGGACAAAGGTCTCGAGAAATGAAGCTTTGTAGAAATGTACACCTCAAAGCTTCTAACAGCCATCAAGAAAATCTTGAAAAGTCATCAACCATAGGTCTATATGGTATAGAACCAGGCCATAACATTCATTTTTTAAATGTTGAAATCAATAAGGAAAATTTGAAGGATCACACAGAACAAAGGCAATTCAAATTCAGTCGAATACAAATGACCTCAGTAGTAATGAGGATTAAGAAAAGATTAGCCCTTGATCCAACACTTACCCTACCAACATGGATCGACAGAGTAAATGTGATAAGCACTTTTATAACAGAAACACATGCCACTTTATAATTCACACACTTATTGAAGCCAACAATCTGCACATGTTTTATTTTTACGAATTCATCCAATTGACGAAGTACGAATTCCCTCACGCTGAAAAGAATATGATTAAGCGACTGAATTTTATTAGATTTCGTAAAGTCTGGTTTATCAATACTTTGATGAAGCTGTTAGCATAAAATAGCCGAATATTTTCAGAATCAATAAAATTTTGTTTTTCATTTATTGAAAAATCACAGTATTTTTTTAAAAATAATAATGATCAAATTTCGAAATTATGCTATTATGATTGCGAACAGTAAATTGCGTTGTAAGCGGAATCCAGTTAGTAATGCTGTTTAATTGTGTGGTATATCCAACAGATAATTACATACTATAATGGTGTCTAGGTTCTACACAGATATTAATTCAATATTGTTGAGATCTGTACAGAAATGATTTATACTTTGGATGTTAATTTTGAGAAATTTAGTTAAACCATCTACGCTACTTATCGCTTACAAGTAGTTAACAATCTCATTTAAATTATTTGACCAGGAATCTCAATATCTATTTTCACTACCTTAAATGCAGCTACTAACCAGGTAGAACTGTTAGATCCGTCACTTAAGAACTTGCTCAGAAATAATTCATACAGCTATAAATCTTCACAGGATAATGCATGCATTATTGATGTAAGTTCTCTGTAGTGCATAAAGGTCTATCTATGGAATTTTAAGTACGTCATTAAACTTCCTTTAAACTGAAGAGCTTAGCTACATTGATTCGTGTTATCTTTATACCTATTGTTTCTCATAGTAAGTGAAGAGAACATTATGCAGTAAATATTCTTTTAATTTTAATGCGTAATGATGAATGGACTACAGGTTTTCTGAATACAAGTTTGCTCATTAGCTCTAAACTGTGATAAGCTTCTTCTCAGTGTTAAATGAGTGTAGTCATTCAACAAGAGACTTCAGAATAAAACTTTTTTTTTCAGAGACACACCACTGAAGAGTTCAGCTTTATAATTTTGGGTTAAACAACCGAATGAAGATATTTTCAATTGATCAAATGTTAGTGATTCAGTATCCCCCTGACAACAACCTCGAAATTTCTGAGAACAATAACTTTTGGTTGATTAAGAAAAGAACTTTGCAATCATTATAGAATTTTTGTATACAGAAAAGCCTTGGATCTAAACTACTGAAGACAATAGAATAAGGAACTCATGCAATCAGTGCAAAGCAATTTGATATCTTCACCAACTATTCATAGTCTCGCATTCACTGGCAAATGATAAGTGAGCTTGAAATGTTTTGCTAATTTTTATTATATGTTACACTACTAAGAATTTTCTTAGAGCAGTAATTATTACAAATAACATTAACAGTTATTTATGGTTAAGCAGCTTACAATGTTAACCGATTACAATTCCCATCTCCATTAAATTTCAGATAAACTGCCAGAAGTCTATATAAAACATCCTGAAGTATTGTAGGTCCACAAGATTTATCATCAACCAACTCTTGAACATGTAATAATGTACATAGAAAAAACCCAGCGTCACCTTGTCGAATAGAAGAAAGCAATAACTTCATGCGAACAGGTGTAGATGAATTTTATCAATTAGTCAGATAAAAATCCTCCGTTGTATGGATCATCACTTTCTGAATCAGATCCTATTAGAGTGGGTAATTTATTAAATTCATTTCTTTTAATTATGCATAAACATTCTATTGAGTTTCTATGCCAAAAATATGAACTAATCATCCCAGTGAGAACGATAAATATTTCCTCTCGAATATTATCCAAATCAGCATTACTGTGTGCTAACAATAATGATGAAATATACGATTTAGGTAAACCAATTAGTGATTTTGAAAAAAAATGAGCTAAAAATTCCAACAATTTCGAATACACTTCATTTTGTTCAACCTTAGAATTCTGTTTAATTTGATAGGCTATCTCAGACTGACACCATCGTTGGCATTTTTCAATGAAATACGATATAGTGGCTTTCTGATATATACTTAAAGGGGTTAAACAATCCTTAATAATCATCTCAATGTTAGCATCATACTGATCACATTTTGGTGTTTGAAGATTGATTGAAATTTTTTTCTCTAACAAAGCAGAACACAATGTTGACGTCGCAATAAACGGTGGATCTTCCATTCTTAATAAAAATAAGACTATGATTTGTGCTAGTAATGACCGCTGACACTGATGAATTATACTTTTACGGAAATCACTTTCATATCTGGCGCTTAATAACACGTTTAATATTTTATCACAGTGTTTCAGTGTGTAGTCACCAATACCATAACCTATATACTTTAATGGTGGTATGCATTTATCAATTTCACTTAACAATTCAATTAGTAGTGTAGGTATATTAGGTAAGTCACTCCAAACTGTTTGTTCGTAAGATAATGTTGCTGGCAATGAAGTCTTTAACACAACAGATGGTATATCTGGGTAGAATGCATCACTTCTTGAAATCTTAGTTGCATAAGCATGATTATTTTCTGAAGTTATTGATATTTCCATTATAATTTTGTTAGTACTGTTCCAAAAGGCATTCTTCTCAGCGTTCAATGGAATATTACACACCAACTCAGCAATAAATAATTGATTTATAAAATATTAAAAATAAATCAATACCATTCACTAATTCAACTAATATATTTTATAAACATCTTGTAAATAAAACTACTTCATCTAAAACCAGGAAGAATGAATTAGCGTGTCACGAAAAACATTTCAACAGCCTGCTGCAGACTTTTAGCAATAACCACCTTCGCTGCATATCGAAGATCAAATGGCTAGAAGGGATTAGCGACTAGAAACTCTGGGAACGAAACAACCAACAGCCTATTACTCAACAGATATACCGAAGGAAATGGAGATTGATTGGACGTACTCTGAAAAGACGGTAAAGTGACATTATGCACCAGGGTGACATGGAGATCATGTAAGGAGATGAAAATATATGGGTCGGACCGTAAATAACAGACGTCTAATAGTAAGAAAAGAATAAACTTTTCATCGTGCAGGTATCCAAATATCAATTCTTACTGTGACTGACACTGCCACGGAGCACAGCTTGAAGGCAGAAACATAGCTCTGGAAAAATTTGAGTGACCTGCGGAATCCACCTCATTCTTCACAATATACAAGATACTACATTTCTTTAAACATGTCGAGAAAATCATATGGTTAAGAAAATGTTTTCTTTCCTTGTGAAGTCCGGATTTTATGCGATTAGAAGATGTTAAATGCAAGTTTTCTCACATTAACAATGTAATACAAAAGTGTCTGTTTTCTGGTCAGCATTTGAAGACAATTAGGTCGTCTACATTTCCTTAAGAATAGAATATAATTTTATATTAGTAAGTTTATCTGATAAAAAATAGTGGCAGAGAATTTGATAACTTAATGACGTTTACAGTGCACAACTTATTGCTCGCAATCATATCAATTTGAATATTGTCGATTGTGCATGTAATTAGATGCTTTCCTAAAAAATAAGACAAGAAACAAATAGATTCTTCAAAGACTCAGAATGTAAATCACTGGATTATGCAGCGCTGTAAACTAATTACACATCTCAGGCATTAGTCTTAATTACGTTGGCTTTTAACGTAAGAACTAATGCTGCTTACACTACTGTGGACTGAGAGATTTAAATCTACAGCATACTGACTGAAAGTACAATACTTAGTTTAGTGAATTACAACGCCAATTATGTGATATCCAACTTTAAAAACAAACTAAAATACAGTGAATATAATACAGTTAATTGTAATCTTAATGTGTTTATTTACAGAGATAGAAGAAAGTAAGTTAGTTGAAGATGGTTGAATGATATAAAAGACTAATGACCGCCACGGGCAGCGACTTTATCAGTCTTCTTGCTTTCTTTATGCTTCTCAATCAATTCCTGCCGACGTTGTTCGTGGTAACGTATAAGATCTTGATGCTGAATTTGCACATCACCTAAGGCTATTTGTTCTTCTTCCAGAGGCAGTCGTGACCTGTGAAATACGAAAAAATTTGGTAGTAAATTGACATATATACATTGCATATTTAAGTAAATGATTATTTATTAATCATTTTAACTACTGTTCCAAAAACAAAGAACGATTTAAAATTGATAGTAATTCACAGAAACTATTAGATAACGCGAAAAGCAGTCACCTTTTTAAATGTCTACTACAAGTCCCACAGGCGAAATTGCAAATACAACATAATTACATAGGTTTGGAAAATTCCTATCCATAGGTGTTTTGATGAAAATGCATTGGTTATGGCTGGTGCAATACACATCTACATTTTTTGAAAGTATTCTGCAGCTTAAAAAGAAGGAACAGAAGGAATAGTCGTCGTTTTATGACCCAGACTATCCTAAGAAATTTGCTAGAGAGAACACACCTATCTGTATGAGTGAAGACTTTCGTACAAATGATTATTTGTTTTAAACCATAGGCATTTTAGGCGTTTTCTAATGAGGCTATCATTACATTTTATAACACCAATTACCACGATGTATGAAGATGTTATTATTTCAATCAGTGATGAATAATAATAACCATAAGTATTTCCAATAGCAATGCAGCATTTGGTTGACTTCTAACAGGCACAAGTTCTGCATGAATAACTGGACTGTAGCAAATGTCCAAAGAATCACAGCTATGAATCTCAAAAATGATTTCCAGTAAAAAAAATGTCCCAATCAATACTGACAATATACCATCAATGAAAAGCCAAATATCTTTATCCTGGACTGAAATGAATTGTCAACACAGAACTTCGTACAAAAAAAATGCAGCTGTTCGAGTTATTACACTTCCCAAAGGTAGATAAAAAGTAAAGCAAACAAAAGCAATGAAGCTACAATAAACAGATATGTACCAAAGATAGAAATAATTACATGAGAAATAAGGGTTTAATGGATTTGTAAGACCATAATTAGTATGTACATCTGTGTCAATACAGGCGATTTTGAACCATTATGGCTACTAGTCTGAAGCCATTGGTTCTTAGTATCTTGAGGACTCCAATAAGGCAACCTACACTTCCTTGAGTGGATGACAGGTTTTGATATGACCACCCTAAATTCTCCTTCTAACCACAACCTATAATGTCAGCCAACATTCGTCATCCTAGAAAAGGTGATTCAGTATACGTAACACATATCCTAGCTATCCCAATTGATTTAAATGTATAGCTTCACCAACTGACTTTCTCCCTTTAAAGAACATTCTGCTTCTAACCTCATTATTACTGACCATGTTATACCACCTAAAAATTCAAGTTGAACGCAGGCACTCATGGTAAAAAATAGTACAGTACATATTTTTTTCACTTGTGATCGCCTTGTATCATATCCATAACGAAGGACAGAGAAGACTACTGTACAGTACGCACGTCATTTGATCGATAGCCAGAGATCTAGTATACACCAGAGATAAAGTTAGCAAATGTGCTGAGATTTTGTCAGCAATCAGTACATTAGGGTATGTTAGAATTACCGAATGAGTGAATTGGCCAACTTATCTAACCATCTCACTCCTTATTCTTATTCTAGCAGTCAGTGCACATCAGTCCTTTAGCATCATTTTGCATTCGACAGGGGTGAATCGCATACGAAACATTTTTGGATGTTCAGACTAGTCAACATTTTGTCAGTATTCACTTAGAAAGATTATATCGCCCGCACACTCTACATCGACGTAACTCTGCCCTGATAACAAGTCAGTCATAGAAGTCATTTAAGGTCACCTCTATCAGTATATTTATAATGACATTAAATAAGGTGGTGACATCGTCTGCATGAATTTAAGCAGGGTGCTTTGATTAGTGATATATATATATCATGTTAAAAAGTCACGGTAAGCAGAAAATTACCTATACATCTTCATAAGATCATATCGGTCAACAAGATTTATTTTGTATTGTAATTCGGACAACTGTTCAGGTGTTAAGTAGTCATACATGCTGTCGTGTATTCCACGGTAGCCATGCAGGAACCATTTGAATTTCCAAGGTGGTGGAAGCAATTTTACCTATAATAAACACGAAATAGTTGGACCTTATAAAGATTAATCACTCAAAAGAGTAGTGAGAAATACAAGAATTTAACAGTGTTTTACACGAAAGCGATTAAATGTATCTATATTTTGCCATTCTGCTAGACCCTAACTAACTTGTCTCAAAGCTGTTCAGTAAAAATTGCACTCTCTCAAGCTGCTAACCCAATCAATAAAGCGTAAGTTCAATTACCAGACTACAACGCTAAACACTATTCCACAAGATATGTTCTGAATTTGAGACATACGAGACGTACTTCAGATATACTTACAGTATTATCCAAGATGTTCAAGAGTAATTATTTCAAAGAAAGCTCTCTTAGTGTGACTATTAACTAGGGAAAAACGCTAATTCTTGTACAACTAGGGGAAGTAACTATTACTTGGAAAACTCAGTTCTTCTGTTTCAGCTTAGTTCTCAATACACATATTTCATGTGCCAGGTTACGTCACACTTATGTGAGGGGTGATAATGATACCTAACTGCCCAGGCCGGAGTAGGTACAGTCGGATTCAAACCGGGAACTCATCAGCTGATGGGCCATACCTCCGCCCTACCTACAAAACCGTAATCACTAATAAGGAAGATAAAATTTAACAAACTGTACAGATTATAACAACCTCTGATGACAGGTCGTCTAATAGTATTTTAGGTAACAACCAGTCCTCATGTAAAAAATATACAACAAAATGAAGTAGCTAGACAAAACTTATCAAATACAAGAGAATAAGGATTATGAGACCGTTTATGGGTTTTATTGAACATTTTGCATCAGTATTAACACTTTTCTGGGTACTTCTACCATGTGAACATACCTTTTTATCATTAATGGGAACAGGATCATTGGGATTATATGGGACGCGAGTCATATCAAATGGAAATCTACTTTCTTCCAGTGGAGCATCACGTAAATATAAAAGATTTCGGTCTACACGCTTTTCCAGTAATAAGACTTCAACACATTGTATAGTTGGATTGTACAATTCATACTGGATTTCAACGGCTAAAATAACAAAAAGAATGTAATGAAATTTTGGTATGTTAGTAGATGCGGGTATCTGAATTCACCATCTTCTTGACATGATGTAAATGAGGTGGCAACAATCTTGATATACTAAGTTCAAGATATACAGCACGTAGTTGTTATTCAAGGCAAAGTACACAGCTACTACTACTACCAGATATTATTGCAAAACTTTCGGTTAACATTTATAAGCAAGAAGTTGACAACTAATTTTAGTGTCATCTGGTGTTTGCAGACTGAAATACTACCACATAGAATGACAGTTATACGAAGAGAACCTCAAAACTTAATATCGCCTAGGTGTTTAATAACTATGTTCGAATACTTATTTGTGAAACGACCTCCAATTCTCAAGGCACTATTCCTAAAGGGATGCTTACTTTGATTGAACACTAAATAGTAATTAATCCTTTGCATTTAATACAAACTGAACTCTCTCAATCAGGTTTACAGTCTGGCTTGCCATCACGACACACTCTGAATTGTGGTTAGATGGTTGCAAGCAATCGGTAGGAAGCCTTGGAGCAGGGTTTCATGCGTGATTAGACTCAAGATATTAGTTACTACCCGGTGTTGAATCGAAGTATCTATCACAGTCTTACAGGAAGTTAGACGCAAGCCAGAATAGCTTAGTGGTAAACTCTCTGACACAGGCCTCGAAACTCAGAAGAAACATGAGTTCCTTCGAGATCGCAGATGCGCCCTGATGATGAGTGCCAACAAGCATGAGGCCTAGGTCCAAGGCTTCCTGTCAATTGCCTCCAACGATCTAACAACAATTTAAATTGACCCCTGTGTAAGGCAAAATAAACACATACATAATCGATCAAAAATCAATTCGTAAGAAGCAAACTATCAGTTTGGACGTAAAAGTATGTATGCTATACAAGAGCTTTTATATCAAACACTACTAGATGTCTGTGAAACTGGATAAACAAACAGAAATGTAGACTTTTCCATGTAGCAAAATACACTGATTAATCATAGCCTATAGAAAGATTGCACGACTAGCAGTTCAAGATGTTACCAACGACAACTCAGTAAATACATGCTACAATAATGGGTGTGTAAATGGTTCAGTAGTAGAACATTGGCCTACCACGCAAGTGGTCCGGGGTTCAAACCCTAGCCGGTGGTAAGCCCGGTAAAGAGGGAAGGTTGGGGTTTGAGGCTGGCAACCCCATCCCGTGAAAAAACACGATTATTGATACTTTAAAGCTCTATCTAGAAGCCTTATATTCCACTGGGAACACAAAGAAATAAAATAAATAAAATATTAAGATAATGTTCGAACACCAGTAATGTCTTGGGAACACCAAGAACTGTTGTTACCGGAAGAAGCAAACTAAAAAAATTGGTATTCACCACTTTTATGAGCGATTGTGTTTCATACAATGTTTCCATACATGTTTGTTCCCAGTAATTTCAGTTTATTTACAAATGAAACACGAAGAGTTAGACCCCAACCAATGGCTGCTATCTTGACATGGTGGTCGGTCTTGAATATCACAATGACCCAACGAGCTATACTGGCTGGAACTAATGTTTCTGCAGGACCTACCATGTCGGGAAGGTCATTTGGACAGAGGTTAAATTAAAAGCAGTTTCTATTATAGTGTTAGTCATTTACACTATGTTGGGATGTGGGTGAAGTAGTACTGTTGGCAAACAGGGATGTAACAGCAGGAAGGTGTTTCGCTGAAACAACTAAATTGCCAAATATGTTATCCCTTCGCTCTGAAGATGAAGGGTTAGGAAAGGTTGACTTCGGAAATTGTACATCCCAACTTGCCTAGTGGCAGTGTGTAGCTGGTGGCAAGATCTGAATACTCCAAAAACCATTTCAAACAGGCCGTATGTAACCGGGCTAAAACAGTTTTCCCTTGGGCTCTACAGTCACACAACTCTAACAGTCCTTCTGTTTCAGGTTTCCTGACTTTCAGTCAAACCAAACAGATAAGTAGTTGCATATATCACTATGAGTTTTCGCTCTTTATCTTGACTCTAAAAGGTTGAACTAATTACCTACGAAAATAACAAGTGAGTTGCTCATATAGGTTGTTTATCAATCCTAGTTAATCTTTTCATTGTCTTCTACACCATTTCTCACCTCCAAAAACTTCACCAATTGATGTTCGCCAATTGTCAGTGTTATGGCTGATAGAGAAGTGTAAACTTGGCTCGTAATACAAAGCCTCACAGTTATTGCATATTTATTAGAATTAAGCTACTGTAGCTTGTTCATGATATTGCATGTGAAATTAGATGAATTAACAATTCTGCAATTAAATCTGCATCACTGACGAGCAAAATTTATTTAATTATGTACTTTATACAAAACAAAATAAACTCTTGATGAAAAAGTGAGAAGAATTATTGACAAGTAGATGGTAAGCACATTCTTAAAATGCAATCTGCTTATCACATAAATTACGTTCTAAAGTTATATATATAACCAAATTTACACATACCTGTCTTTTCAATAACATTGCGTAGAGTGAATTTCGTCCATAAGCCTTCATTATACCGTTCTATACAAATACCCAAGAATCGATGTGTTTGATTGGGACCAAATTTATCGGCAGTATTTACAGCAACTACTGACCCTGTAAAGAAGTGAATAAACACCTACATTTCATTTCCCTGATACCTGTACATACGACGGTAAAAGTAGCTATGTGTAAGTCATTTTACAGCTACTTAAAGTTATTTTTGCATTTCCACTTCTTTAGGTAGCATAAGATAAGGAGGTTGAAACAACTCAACTGACAAGCCAGATAAAGTTTCCACCCAGAGAATAAAAAAAACTCCTTCAGTGAAACAAGGCATTTTTACTGATGAAGTGGAATAACTGGAAAAAAGAGTCTACTGTGTGCAGTTACTGCTTTTGTTTCATTCGCGTATTTTGATTGGAGTCATCAGTGGTAGAAGGAGGCCATTAAGATGCAACTAGCGACGGCCAGAAATAGATAGATAGATAGGCTGTAGAAGATAGTCCGTAAAATACACCTTGCGACTAATTCGTTTCTGCTGGCTAGATAATCAACTCTTCTGCAAACTTAAATACCCAACTTGCGTATTTCAGTTGGCGTACTAACCTACCGTTTCTACTATCCAATTATTATCAAAACACACAGTTATGGCAAGGCAAAGCTCCACATGTTATTTTAGAATATTTGGACAGTATATCATGCTGTCTAAAAGCTATTTAGCAGAAGAACCAGAATTCCGAACAATGCCAAATAAGTAAAATAAAATGAACAAAGACAAAGGTAAAAGTAAAGACAAAAACAATGTAAAAACGAATGACTGGGTACAAAGTTACAGGTATCATAAATACGACACATGAAGAAAATTAAGAAAGCTTTCTAAGATTTCAAATAGATTGCATTATATAAACGTTTTCATAAGGCCTAAGATGGTTTTCTTAGAGGATTACTGTGTGAAACCACGACTCAAAGTAAAATCCATTAAACTGCAAAGTACTTTCCAAAGGAGATTTGTTCCTTGGGAGTTTCGGCTTGCATTGATATTTAAGCGGATAACCTCAACCAAAGTTTTTACCAGATCAACAACAAACCTGAATTCTGGCTTTTACCTCGTAGTAACACTTCTGCCTACTGACCCTTGTATCACATGGTATGGGACTGTGTTTATATGAGGAAAAGTGGGCTCTTTACACATTTTGAAAAGTTATTCATTATTTTCTCTTGATGTCTTAACTTTTGCATGTGAACAAATTTATAGTGTTCCGTAGTGTTTTCTTCGTACGAAGTGTTGCCAGAACAAGTAATATTTACGTCTGTCATTATTATTTTACAAAGTAATTTGATAACATACCAATCCATAATTATTTACACCCTTACTACACCTCGAAATTTATATTTCTTTTGGACTAACAATCTATTGCTAACTTCAACTAATTAACTGTTTCAATTTTTAAAAAGTTATTTTTACCTCTCCAGTATCTTAAAAATGATGCTGACTGACTCGCGTCGCCACATGATTAGTATAATTTTGGTGTAAACCTATATATATATATATATATATATATATATATATTATAATGCACGGTCGTTGACAAGGTACTAACTGAAAAGAAATATATTTCTTAGCTCAATTCAGTGATTTTTCTCAATTTATCTCTCAGTCAATACAACTAAAACGAGGATTAATATAAATGCTAAGTTCGAGAAAAATAGTATATAAATGAAAGCGATGTAACAGATTACGGTCTTATTATTCCCTTGAGTTCCTAGTGGAACATAGGACTTCAATAGCACATCTCCACTTTGTCCTGTTCTCTAAAGTCATCTTTCACTGGCCTCACGATGCCCATAGGCTCTCATCTCTTTGCACAATCCCCTCTATGTTATCCTAGGACGACCCACCCGTTGTTTCTCATTGAGATTTTACTCCAAGGTCTGATGCGTGATATCACTCGACGGTCCCCTCAGTATGTTTTCCATCCATCTCCATTTAACTCGGCTTATTTCTGGAGTACCAGGTTCTTGATTGGTTTTTTCCCGGAGTTTCTTGTTGCTAATTCTTTCTGGCCATCTTACCTTCAGCATGGAGCCAGAAGAGGTAGTTATTGATAAAAGTCTGCAACAGGCTGTTGCGAATGCATCTCGTGACATACCAAGTTTTTGATTTCGAATTATCCCATGGATAGTTTTTTTTCTTATAATTAAGCACTTTGTTGAATTTCCCTTAAGGAAACAACTGACTCTTTTTTTGATATTAAACCACGTGGATAGCAAAATTTAAATCCGTGAATTAATCGATAATCCACTGAAGAGTTTTAGAACTGTGAGAAGGGCCTAATTTTTATACTATAACGAATTTGATGTACACGTCATCATCGTTTTCTTATTCTGAAGAAGATGACAACTTCTCGGTGTGTGATACAAAAAAAGATGACAGCGATGACCACCAAGCCAAAGAAGCTTACTATCCAGATTTTGAACATATCACAGTTACAACAATTCTACCAAGATCAGTAGACTACACAGAAGCAGCAGATGAATCTGTCTCATATGTGCCGATTGTATTAATGGAATTACTTAAATCAGTTGACAGGTTTATACCTCCACTGAGTCGTGCATTCTATGGTATAAATACAGATAGTTATCAAGAGAGTGATAGGATATTAAGCATTATCATTGATTTCTGCAGTCATACTACTTCTAGAGATGAATTGTACAGAAACTTGATACAACAGTGTTCCCCAACAACACTCATGCAACTTATCCAGTTATACTTTTTACGCTTAAAATCTCCACTGTTCATTGCTACACCACAATTTTGTGATATTATACAAGAGAAGGATTTCTTCCTCAATTACAAATCGCCAAGTTGTAGCGACATGAATAACCAAGTAACACGTGCTGTCAAAGAGTGTTTAAAAGGTTTAAGTATCTATCAACAAGCAACATTATCCTATTTTATTGAAAGATGTCAAAGATGGTGTCACTCAGAAGTAGCCTATCAAATAAAGACAAAGGTTAATCGTAGTGCAGATGTTATCTATGGTGAAACTATAAAACTACTAAGTCAGTTATTTGCGAATTGTATTATAGGACTAACAAAAGAATACATTTCATCGAGATTGCTCAAGTGTGATGCTAGTAATACAACTGTACATATGGATCAATTGAAAAGGGAGATATTTGTCCTACTTACAGGAATGGTTAGCACAAATGTATGGCATATTAATTCAATAAAAGCAATGAATACCAAACGTGAAGAGATTATACCACAAGCAACCAAACGAAATAGCTCAATGTATAATGCGTCCGAGTTATCAGAGGTTAAAAAAACTTTTAAGATGAACTCCTTTTAGTACGTTTGACAATCTGTAAATTTATTTTTTTAATTTTTATTAACTTTTAAGTTTGCGATAATTTCGTTTTTATTTATAATGATGATAAATTTAATGACGGCAGTGAACTTACCAACATAAAATTCTGGTATATCTAGATTTTGTCTCCGTAGCATCATTTCACGTCTTTCAAGACGTTCGCGCAAACTGTCACGATATCTGGGATCAATATTATGAGGCACGAGCTCCTGATATAAACGTCTATACAATCAAAATGCAAGAAATTAAAGTAAATTCCTCATTAATATTGCAATGCTACTTGTTAAGACATTTCACCATACAGTATATGTAATGAAATCTTAATTTAAATGCTGAAAACTTAGATTTTTTCATTTCAAGATCTGCCTAATCTCATTGGACTAAATTGAGTGTTAAAAATATGCAACGAAATACTTCACAGCTGAGTCTATCCTTGAAAAGAGGCTCTTAACCCTCGTGATCATATTAGAACTTGATTACCGGTTATGAATATTCAATCGATTTCCGCCTAACAGTGTTATGTAAGAAAATAGGATTACACATTGTTCTAAACATAGAGGAGGAACCTTAATCAAATCTTGCAAACAGAGAGATCAGTCTAAAAGTCTTCAAAAAATAGGATTGGTTTGAGCTACTTTGGAACAGAAACAAAATAATACCTTGATTGGACACTAATAACAAGTGTGATGTCTCTAGTCCTTTGTTTGGTGCAGACTGAATTCTATCATTCAGGTTTGCAATGTGGCCACCAATCTAATATCACAGAATAATAACATTGAGAGAGGAATGAAGACTTATCGAAATGTTCAGAAATTACCCAGTGTTATTAAGATTCTCCAACAGTTGAAACTTAGCACTCTGATGATCACATATAAGCAACTTTATCAGGTTGTTTACAGACCAACCATTACTAACTTCATGGACATGCCTCATGGTTTATTTTCGCCTGAAGTTTTGCTTAATACTAGCTACTTCAATTGACAGAGATTTTACAACCAAATCGACTGATTTCCTTGATCACTAAGCTAATGAACTCAAAACTAGTTATTATTTGGATACACAAAAGAACGAATACACCTACGGTCCAAAATTTATAGCCGTTACATATCATCTGCAACCTGTGACTATCTCACATCCGTAGAGAATGATAAATTCAACCGCATAGAAGTGATTGACTGACTTTTTAACGTAGAACTTTGCGAAAAACGCAACAGTTTAAGCTGCCACACTTCACCAAACTATGCATAATAGTGGATACAAGTAATCAAATAGAAAAAACTAGAGTTAGCGTTAATTTGACGGTAAAAGAGTAAGTATATGTGGAAAAACCAGTTTAATGAATCTGGAAGTTCACAATGAATGACTTAATCTCGGTCGGTCGGTTCTCCACATAGAACTTTGCACATATGTGCGGCAGTTCAAGTCGCCACACTCCATGTAGCACACAAAGCAAGAGAAGAAAGTAGGAGAAATGCATAATATAGACAGTAAACAGAGATGTGAGACAAATGTATAGTAATAACGAAGAACAAAACAGTTTCATTGGAAATCGTAAGTCACAAGGAGTGGATGCATCTGCGCCACTGAGAACGATTTTGAGCCATGTCACCAATTGTTTCCAACCATTGGTTTTTACCGTCCTGAGGACCCGAACCAGGAAGTCTACATCTTCCTACGTGGCCTAGACTAACTGTTGTAGATTTCATTGACTGGTGACTTAATCTGCACCGTTTGGAACGATTTTAAGCCATAATACTAAGTCTCAATCATTTGTTTTTACCGTCCTTAGGACCATAGCCAAATAACGTAAACCACCCTATGTAGCTCAAACCAACTGTCAAAGACTTAATTCCGTGATACCAGGTTTTGGTTTGATCAGCACTACCTCTCTTGCAAACTAATACTATGTCGGCCCACATTGTTTCATGAAGCAAGCGGTGGCTCGGCATGTATAATAAGTGTCGATCACTAGATGTAATTTCGCAACTTCATCGATTGACTTCCCTTCCCTACCCCGCACTCTACGCCTAACCTCAATATTCCTTGCTATATTATGCCACTTAACATGGAGGATAGAACACAGACATCTTCGGTCAAAGACAAGTAAATTTTTTATTTCTCTACTTTCAATGATCATGTTTAACATCCACAAAGCAGGACAGGGAGAACCGTCGCGCATTACACACATCCTTTGCTTGAGAGCCGGATATCGTGTCTACGACAGAGACGATGTAAGCTGGTAAGTGACATGCGAGCCTTTTTTATTTGTGCTCAGACTCAGTCCGTAATCAGTCCATTAGGTCTGTTGCAACCACCAAAACAAGTAAAGTAGTCAATAGACTCAGCCACTTAGCTTCATCTTTAAGCTGCGAGTCGGTGTAGTTTAGTCCTTCAGTATCACCTTGTATTTGACAACGGTTAATCGCGCTCCAAACATTCAAAGATTTCCACTCAAGATGTTCAGGGGACTGGGACGATAGCTGCTACCTTGACGTGATGGTCGGGCTTGCATATCGCGATGACCCAACAAGCTACACTGGATGGAACCATTGTTCCTGCAGGTCCTACCATGCCAGGAACGTTGTTAGGATATCGATTAGACTAAAAGCAGTTACCAGCATAGTGTAAGAATTTTTTACACTATGCTGGGGGTTTGTGTACAAATTCGTACTGCTGGGAAACAGGGATGTAACACCAGTAAGGTGTTTCCCTCAGATGGCCAGCATACCGGCCATGCTGTCTCTCCACTCTGGGGAGAGGGGGTTAGAATAGGTCGATCCCAAAAATTGTACATCCCGACTTACCCTACGGTAGTCCGTAGCTAGCGGTAAGTTAATAGCACGGAACCAAACCAAAAAGCCACTTCAAACAGGCCGTGTGTGACCGGCCTCAAGCAGCTGTCCCCTAGGCTCTGCGGTCACACAACATTAATTCTCTTAATGTTTCAGGCACCCCAAGAAAAAATCAACTTTCACCGTTTGAACAACTGGGAAGTAACAACCGCCCACACACTTCCAAAAGCACACCAAGACCTCCTGAGCATCATTCTCCTTTACTCATATCACCTTCATCCTCTTCCCCCCTACTACAGTCAGGACTATTCTTCAGGGTAGTGAGTCATCTTCATTTCATTGTGTGACCGAAAATAACGATGACAGTCAGAAAGACAACCCCCATAGCCTCTTAAAGACACGCCGCCAACCTCATATTGGAGCATGTAATGTCAGGACTCTCTGTCAAATAGGCCAGCAGACATCACTAGCCAGAACCCTGGCACCTTCAGTCATGGGTGTATGTTATGTTTCGGACACACGCATACAAGACCAGAGTGTGGTTATTCACTTGACCTCACCCGGTCAACAAGGTGAATCTGTAAAATTCACTTTAAGGGTGTCAGGAGACCCCTCAGCTAGTTCACGCGGACTCACAGGTGTAGAGATAGCATTGAGTGTTGGGGCAGAAAAATCACTTCCTGACTGGATCCCAGTAGATAGTCGTATGTATGCGGTCCGTTTGAATCGGTCCGTTAGAAGAAGGAAGGACGGCGTTACCCGTCGTTGTCTATTCATAGTCTCCGCTTACGCCCCAACAGACTGCAGTTCACATGAACTAAAAGATGACTTCTACCGGAAACTGTCTAGTTTGCTGCAAAAAGCAAAACGCCCAGACATAGTTGTTTAAGCAGGCGACTTCAATACCCAAGTAGAGAAGTTGTGTCAGACTGAAAAATATACCAGTGGTACGTAAGGAGTTCCAGCCGATAACTGCTACCTTGCCGTGGTGGTCGGGCTTGAATGCCGCAGTGACCCAACAAGCTAAACTGACTGAGACTCATGTCCCTGCAGGTCTTATCATGTCAGGAAGGTTGTTTGGATAGCGGTTAGACTAAAAGCAGTCACCATGGGGTACATGGGCCCCAGAATTCAATCGGATCAAACGGCGTATGAACCCATATGGGTCACCGGCAACCATGGGAACGCAGCTCCTGACGCTGCTCCGCTGCCTTGCGGATTAGACTCCAAGTCAAAGGCTCGGGGGGTGGTCCCTGCTTCGGTCTGGGTGCCCGGGCAATATCTCAGCCCTCACACAATAAGTGAAATGAAGCAACAAACTGTTATGGAAACTCACCGCGCCCTCGCAAAAATGATTTCAAGAAATAATGATATCTCAACCAATTTATGTCCTTCCAACCTTACTTTTATTTTTATACTTGCATTCCTGTATTTTACCTTTGCTCATCTTGACGTCTTAACCTTCGACAGCCTCTCGCCTTTGTTTGGATTCCTAGCCTATCTGTGTCGTTTCGAGATGTTAGTGAGTAACCCTGAAAATGATTGTCCCCAATGTGACATCTAACACAGATATCCTGAAACCGCGTGCCGCCTTCAAGCTGGCCACCTGCAATGTTCGGACGCTGATGCAAATCGGACAACAGGTAGGGTTAGTAAGAGCATTGGAAAGCCTCGCTATCGATATCTGCTGCATTTCGGAGACCCACATTCAAGATCCCAGTGAAGTGCTTCGATTATCCTCTCCATCTGGAAGTTCTAGTAGTATGTACCACCTGCGCTTGTCCGGGGACCCTGTGGCATCGGCATCCGGCGTAGCTGGTGTCGGTGTCGCACTGAGCGCTAGAGCCAAAGCTTCACTGCTCGACTGGATTCCCATTAACAGTCGTTTATGTGCTGTGAGGCTGAAAGGTTATACGAAAGTAAGGAGTAGTAGGCCAGATATGCGGTGTCTATTTGTTGTCTCTGCCTATGCACCAACGGATTGCAGCCCGGATGCAATGAAGGATGAGTTCTACCACCAACTTAGCGATCTCTTGAGACGGGCAGGTCGGAGGAATATCGTAGTGCTGGCTGGGGACTTGAATGCACAGGTCGGACGTCTGAGCTCAGAGGAGAATCGTCTAGGTGGTCAATGGGGACTACATGGTCGCAGATCAGATAATGCGGACCGTCTTCTGCAGCTTTGCGCGGATCACAACCCATTTCTGGCCAGCACCAACTTCCTGCACAACCATCGCCGTAGCGCTGCCTGGCGTCCTCTCTCTGCGAACCAAGCTTGGACTCAGATCGATCATATCGCTGTCAGTTTCCGGTGGCGAGGATGCACACAAGACTGTCGCTCCTTCTGGAGCACATGCCTGGACTCCGATCATGCGTTAGTGTGTGCCAAGTTCGTCTTGCGATTTGGTGTGGTTCATAAAAGGCGTCGTCTAAACGTTGATGTGAGCAAACTAGTAGCACCTGCTACTTGTTTGAAATATCAGAATGAGTTACAATCAATGCTTGCCAGCAACCCCCCCCAAGTAGTGTAGATGAACATTGGCTCCATCTGCAAGGTGCCATACAAAGAGCTAGTGTAGCCGCTTGCGGCTTAAGAGAATGCTTCGCCAAATCCACTGGGTTTCCGCGAGTTCCTTGCAACTCCTGGATAAAAGCTAGTCCATTCCGGCTGGCAGCGAATACAGCAATAAGCGAAAGGCGCTGACGCGCAAGATAAGACAGTGTTTACGTAAGGACCGGAAGCTGTTCCAACTCATCCGAGCCACCACCAGCAAGAAACAAGGTGTCAGCGAGACGGTCTGTGAGGCAGATGGCACGCCAATTACCAGTTTGAAAAGACGCCTGGAACGCTTGGCAGAGCACTTCGGGAAACAGTTTAGCTGGCCACCAGCTTCAATGTCTGCTGTCATTAGCCCCAGTGCTCCTAGGTCGGTTAATACCGACCCACCCACCGAAGCGGAGGTCCGTAAGGAACTCCAAGTGTTAAAACGCCATGAGGCGCCTGGCCCAGACAATTTACACCCGGCTCTTTTTAAAGATGATGGCGAGACTCTCACAATGGCCCTAACTGGGTTGTTCAGGAAGGTATGGGAAACTGAGAGTGTACCATCAATGTGGAACGAAGCCATCATCGTCCCCATCTTTAAAAAGGGTCGACGTAATTCGTGTGACAATCATAGGGGTATCAGTCTGCTACCAGTCGCGTCTAAATTATTGACTGCTGTCTTGCTTCGCAGGCTGTGCAAAATACGTGAGGGATTGATTTGCGAAGAGCAGACTGGGTTTCGTTCAGGTCGTGAATGCGTCGATCATGTGTTCACCTTTCGTCAGTTGTTGGAACACCGCCACACGTATTGCAGGCCAACGATCGTTGTGTTTCTTGATATTAGGGCTGCCTTCGATTCGTTGGACAGAACTGTGCTCTGGAACTGTCTGTTAGAGAGAGGTGTACCTGAGAAATTCGTTAACATCTTAAAAGCCCTATACAGAAACACCTCAGGTAGGGTGAGGGCATACAACCAACTATCATCACTGTTCCCAACCAACAGTGGGGTTAGACAGGGTCGCCCGATCTCTCCATTTCTCTTTAACTTTGCCATCGATGACATTCTGGAGTCAGCTCTGAAGGATGTGCGTGAAGGTGGTGTAGATCCCCTTCCTGTAGAGGAACTTTTCGACCTCGAGTATGCAGACGATGTCGTCTTACTGTGCGATAGCATGCAGGCTGCCCAAATCGCACTTAATCAGTTGGCGATCAGTATCTGTAAGTATGGTATGTGCTTTGCACCGTCTAAGTGCAAAGTATTGTTACAAGATTGGCAGGAGCCTGTACCTGCACTCACTCTTACGGGTGAACCGCTTGAAGTTGTTGATAAGTTTGTGTATCTGAGTAGTTGTGCGAGTGCTGGCGGAGGGGTGACGGATGAGATTTCCAACCGTATAATGAAGGCTAGGGTGGCATACATCAATTTGAGCCACCTCTGGCGCCGTCTCGACGTTAGCCTGGCTGTCAAAGGTAGGGTATACAATGCTTCGGTGCGGGCTGTCTTGCTCTACGCCTGTGAAACATGGCCTCTTCGAGCTGAGGATGTGCGGCGACTCTGCATGTTCGATCATCGCTGTCTCCACAGGATTGCTTGCGTTCGATGGCATCATCGCGTGAGTAATTCTGAGGTTCGGTGGCGTGTGTTTGAACACAGTGGAGATCACAATTCATTGAGTGTCGTCATCTGGAAACACCAGCTCCGGTGGCTTGGACATGTGCTGTGAATGTCATCCCAGAGGCTTCCGTACAGGTCTCTGTTCGCTAGCCCTGGGACGGGATGGAAAAGGCGGGGAGTGGTCAGTCCATGACGTGGCGTCGTGGGATGAAGGACTTTTGTGCTAGATTAGCATCGGTTGGTGCGTCACGACTCCCTGGTTGGGGTCCGCGAGATAGCTCGAAACGTTATCGGATATGGCCAAGAATCGTAATCAATCGCGAACGTGTTGCGATTTCCTTCTTTCTTCCCTTCCTGATGACAGTTCACGAATACTGTTTGAACTTGTTAAACATGACTGTTTTCCTTCTTGATGAAGTTCTTTATCTGTTTTCTACTTATATTTTTACTTTTAATCTATGTTGTTTTATTATTATTGTGTGGCACATCTTTCTTGGTGCCATATTGTACCAAGTTTTTCTGCGTTTAAATAAATAAATAAAATAATGGAGTTCATTGACGATGAACCGACAACGGTGAACGTCTTCTAGAGTTCTGTCCAGATAATCATCTGTTCTTACTCAGCACTAACTTTAGGCGCAAAGATAGACAATGTTTAACCTGGCGACCTCCAACACCAAATCAACGCTGGACTCACATAGACCACATAGAGTGTCGTTGGCGAGGGTAAGTAGAAGACTGCCGATCTTTCTGGAATACGTGCGTAGCCTGTGACCACGCCCTCGTTCGCGCACGTTTATGCTTACAATAAACACGACTTCCAAAGTCTTGTGATTATAACTGATATGGTTATGAACAATAAATTGTGTTCTAAACGTCATCCAATAAATAATACTGTTTCACTGTGTGATATATTTAAATCAACAAATTAATGTGGAACTCTCCGTAAGCCATTACACGGTCGTATGAGTTTGAGTAATGTCATGATTAATGCTACATACTTTCTCGGTACTCCTTTTACGACCGAACATTGCCACAACCATCATGATAAATCCAAGAAATTCTTAGTCTAGTTCTTGTTAAGTTGGTAGTCTGAAGGTATCAACGAGGAGTAGAACAGAAAACAATCATATTAAGAGCTAGTTAAGAAGGTGTGTTGGGTTGACGAAATAAGGATTGAGTTTATTTTTCCGTTTGTCTAGTTTGGTGCTAAAAGCGAGACGTTAGGATATAATGGCCTTAGGAGGAGACTTTAACTCTCAACTAGCAAAGCTGAGCCAGTCCGCATCGTATATTCCAAGGTGGCTGTGGAGTTCCATGCCACAGTCATAACAGTTAGTCTAAGCCACGTAGGAAGGTGTAGACTTCCTGGTTCGGGTCCTCGGGACGGTAAAAACCAATGGCTGGAGACAATCGGTGATATGGCTCAAAATCGTTGTCAATGGCTGGCGCAGATGCATCCACTCCTTGTGACTTATAATACCCAATAAAACTATATTGTTCTTCGGTATTACTATTCTTTTTGCCTCATATCTCTGTTTACTGTCTCTATTTTGCATTTCTCCTGCTTTCTTCTCTTGCTTTGTGTGCTACATGGAGTGTGGCAACTTGAACTGCCGTACATATGTGCAAAGTTCTACGTCGAAAACCGACCGACCGACCGATGCCAACACCAACGGATAGCGGTGAACTTCTCTTACATTTTTACGCAAGTAACTATTTGTTCGTGAACTGAGTAACGTCTAACATAGGGAGATCTCATCCTAACTAGCAACATGAAGCTAAATTTGCCATTAGTGGAAAGAACTGCTGAAAGATTGCCGTTCCTACGCTGTGATCATGCATTAGTTTTTGTTCATGGATATGTTTTAACATATATACATAACTAATTGAGATCGAGGTTTGACGATTGACATTCAAATATAAACACAATATAAAAATAGTGGAATACCTTGTCTCCTCTTTTGGTTCTTTCGGTCTTACTTCCCATGATCTTTGTGTTTTCAAAGCAGGATGAGAGACAAAATCAGACTTCCGATAATTGTCCAGCACTTTAGTGTCTATTTTCTCCAAATACTGTTTTGCGTATTCCGGAGGGAACCGACGTCGTATAAACCTACACGGTACTGGAAAGTGGGTAAGAAACAAATAGACTTACACAGAATAGGGATATCAGTGACTTTTCCAACTACTCTTGATATAAAAATATTGAATTTGAAGGCCATCAGGATAGATTTCCGAAGCTACACCTGGTGGTAAGGAAAAAGACAATAAAAAACAACTGCTACATATCGCATTTAAAGGTATACTGAAGAAGGAATTTTCATGCAGTAATCATGGGAATATAAGCTTCGAAGCTTGAGGAAATACGGAAAAGGAAGACCCTAAAGTAATTTTTTTAAAGCAACTTTAAGAAATGGAATTTGTCAGAATCCAGTGAGGTCCACGGGAATTAACATCTAAACATGGGACCAATCCACGAAGTTTTAAATGTGGGAACATATATCCTGGCGGGCTGGAGTCCTCAAGACCGTAAGGACAAATTGCTTGAGACTGTTGGAGAAACTGCTCAAAACCGTTCACGATGGCGTTCATAATCTTTTAGATCCATTTAGTCCTTTAGTTTTTCTGTGTAAGGACTTTCGTGTGTATTTCTTCCCATTATGCTTATCTTTTTCTCTATCTTTGTCCGCCATATTGTGTGGTGATCTGAACTGCTACACTTCCACACAAATTTCTACACTGGAACAGTCAGTCAGTCAGCATCAATACTGACTGCTAAACATGATCATATACAATTTAGGTAAACCTACATTGTCAAAACTGAACATGAAATATCATACGAGACAGAATATATATATATATATATATATATATGACAAGTCTGTGTGTGATCAGATTGTTCGAAATGTGTTGCGCAAATACATTACACGATTCAGACAAATTACATCTTCTTATTGCTTTGTCTAAATTCATAAAGGGAACTAATTGTTTTAAATTTTTAAAGAGAAGGCTCCCTTCACACATTATCAAAAGGTTAAATGAACTTAGGTGTAAAATTATCGTCGAACGTAACACGGTGGAATTTTATTAATTATGTACTAAAAATCATTTCTTTCCGAGGCAATTTTATACAACTTTGAAATTCATTAAATTACAACCAAATTTCTCTAATCTTGTTCGTCTTACAAAGTCACATATCGAAAATGTTAGACAAACGTTACAGGGACTACTTGTTCTTCATACCAATGCATCACTTATTTTATCCGAGTTATCAATAATATGCCACATGAAATTCCTTCAGTTTTGTAAAGATGTTGCTCAGAAAACAAAGACAAATATACGAAATAAGTTGAAGAGTTCAGTTGATGACACAAACCACGTAGATCTTTTTCCGGTGAATCCTGATAAATATGTTACAGATCTTTCTGACATTCCTCAATCTACTCATCAGAAAGAAGCTTTACCCCTTGGACTTAAATTTTGTGTTCCTCACACGCAATTCACGGATTTAGCCATCCATGCTGAGTTCAAAAGCTTGTATGACCAACTCAAACCTCTTGCCGCAACATCCGATGAAGATCGGGGTTGGTTTAAAGTCAAGATGGTGGATATAGCTCACCAGTTTTTAAACAACAACCCAAAGGAGAAAAGTATTTTAACTTCCCAGCATTTCAAAGCCTTGAAAGAGCTACGGGAAAATTCTAATATAATTATTACAAAACCTGATAAAGGTCCTGGAGTCGTCATTATGAATAGAAGTGACTACAAATCTAAAATGATGTCTATTCTTGATGATAAAAGCAAATTTAGCCATGATCCCTCCTCAGAAGATATTCAGTTATTGCAGGGCACAGTGATAGTTAATCTGTTGAAGCTTCATGGCCTAAATGCTATAAGTAAAGAGAAATTTGACTCTTTCAAAGCATCAGAACGTAAATTTCCGCATATATGTGGTTTGCCAAAAATACATACACCCAATAATCCTCTACTTCCTTTATGGTCAATGTGCAGATCCCCAGCGCATAAACTTGCTAAGCGGTTAGTAGAATTATGCATCCAGTCAAAACAAAATTCAGTAAGTATGTGTTAAAAGATACGTCTGAATTGGTTAACTTTCTTGATGAATATGTACTCTTTTGATGTAAACTCTTTATTCCCTAATGTGCCTTTGCTTAAAACAGTTGACGTTTTGTGCGATTACATTTTCACACACAATTTTTTTCATCCCGTTACCCATATCTTATTTAAGGGATTTATTACTTCTATGTACTAGCAATGTTAGGTTTACATTTGAAGGCGATTGTTTCCGCCAAGTTGATGGTGTTGCTATGGGAAGTCCGTTAGGGCCTCTTTTACCAGATATCTATATGTCGTACATTGAGAATTTATCGGAGGATTTAATCGAAAATGTGCCACTTTATAGAATATACGTAGATGACATCGTAATCGTAAGTGATAAGGCTTGTTCTGTCACCTCAATTTTAAATCGAATGAATGAAGTTCAGAATAGCATATCACTTACATCTGTAGAAGAGGAAGATAATTGTTTATCTTTCCTAGATATATTGCTTAGTCGACTGCTTGATGGGTCGGTAAAACGATCTATTTATAGAAAACCTATCTGGACAGGACAGTATATTAATTACCACAGTTTTTGCCCTGTTACGTACAAAAGAGCCTTAGTAAGGTACCTCTTCAGTAGAATCCAACGAATATGTACTGAAGACACGCTTGATGAGGGAGAGAAAAAGTTGACACAAACTCTGGTCGATAACCATTATTCCGATAAGTTCATCAGGAGATATAAAGTAGTCAGAACACCAAGACCAACTCCCCAAATCGCCCATAAGAAAGACGTTTATAACAAGCTACCCAATATGGGGCATCATAGCAGCTTGATAACTAGACAAAGATTGAACGCTGCTGTTAAAAAGACTTTTTTATGCAGCTAATATCATAATAATTGAGAATGTGAAGCCAGTATATCTATCTAAGCCCTTTGAACATGAGAAAAATGATGTCACATCCCATTGTATTTACCAATTTGAATGTACGTATGGACACAAACACATAGGGAGGACTCATTGATCTCTGCAAGCAAGGGCTTCAGAGCACATTCCTAAATGACTTCAGAAGCAAATAGAAACTTCAGAACCCATTAATGGTGAGAAAAGGAGACCTAGCTCCTCTATTGCGGAACATATTATAGAGACAGGACATCAAATTGACGTTAACACATCTTTTAAAACTATCTATAAAACGTGTTTGGAGAGTATCCTAAAGTTTGTGGAAGCCCTAGCAATTAGAAAATTTAAACCACCTTTATGCGTTTAAAAACAATTCTTCATCACACTAAACGTTCCTTGGTAAACTTTGTTTTGATACCATAGCAGGTGTACTATTACCTCTGTTATTTGGTTTAGTGATTGTCATTGTTATTTTGAACTTCAATATGTCCTTTTAACTTGACCTAAGTCTATTTTCTCACCTCTTAGCTCTTTATTAATTTCATATATATTCCTATGACAAGTCCGTGTGTGATCAGATTGTTCGAAATGTGTTGCGCAAATACATTACACGATTCAGACAAATTACGTCTTCTTATTGCTTTATCTAAATTCATAAGGGGAACTAATTGTTATAAATATCTTAAATGTGTTGAAATGAGCAAGATTAGAGTTCTAATTCTAAAAGTGAGTTGCTAATTACAAAGAATTATGCAGAATTTATGAATCCCTTCTTAGGTTTGCCTTTGCAAACGTTTAGAAATAACAGTTGCAAATAACTAGCTTGGTGGGATAAGATGACAATATTATAGAATCAGTTATCAACAAAGACAGAAAGGAAGATTGGTGTGGAAAGCTGTATACAAATGCACCACTCCGTCCTCGTACCCAATAGCGGTACACACGCTGAAACTTGAAATAAACAAAAGACATTTCTCAAAGTAATCCATTCCAGATAAGAGCTTGATGTGAATACAGATGTTACGGTAAGACTTCTCAGAAATATAAGTATAATTTTGGATTAACATTCGTATGGTAGCTAATGTGAACTTTTCTAAAGGGCAAGCTTCTTTTTTTAAATGGCGTTTTGTCCACTTTTGTCTATTTAGTTTTTTCCGCTAATCATAACAGTGAAGTGTTAGACCTTGCTTAATATGCTGTAAATTACATCAGTTTAATTAAGAGACCTGAGAAACTTGTTACCGTATTCTTTTCATCTTAACGAACTCAGAGGCTGTAAATCTTTTCTTTTTATCAACAATTTTAGCTATTTCTACTGCGACAATCGATTTATTTTAATGTGTACTTTTGTGAACACCACTGGCTCATAACAATTACGTACACATTTTAGTCTAATTTCAACAATTATACGTAACACTCCCACTCTAAAATTAGTTTATTGTCCATGTTTATTCACATATTAAAAATATGGTTTGACACATGTGTACAAGATTTACCTGAAAAACCTATCAACATTTATGGATTCATTGAATACTGTTTTTTCACATCTGCTGTCAGCTTTAGAAATGTAATGATACCAAAATCAACACAAAGTACATTAGAAAAGAGAAAATAATTAAATGAGTTTTAGTGAAAGTATGTGAAATTTCGACAACAAAAGGTGAATATATCTTAGCCAAGGTGGTCAACTTTGGGTTGAGATCTGAAGGTTACTAGCCAAGCTGTGTTCACATCATATCAATGGTTATTATTCATTGGCTCAAGTTTATTTGACTTAACAGAACGACAATTAATTTTATCAACGTGATATGATTATGAGAAATAATTTGTGATCGAAACTTCCACCAGTTATTACTATACCAGTGGGTTATATTAAATAAACTTATCTAATGTGGGATCATATCCTACCAGAGCACAGATTTTACTATTAAATTTGTCGGTTTATGCCTTGTATTATTGGAAAACTTTAAACATTACTTGACTTTTTCTTTCTTAGCCAACCACCTACGTATCACTATTACTTTTCGCTGCTTCTCCATCGTATGAGTTTCAAGAAGAGACCTGTTAGGTGCCTTCTACTTTGCTGAAGCATACAGTAAAACGAAGAGATATCAGCTAATTAGTCCCGACAGATGACCATAGCTGTGTGAATCCTCTAACGATGTAAAAACCCTTAAGGTAGAGGAAAGACCTTTATTACACTTAAGTGGTCACATAGTTGTCTTATAAGAGACTCACAATATCTCAATTACTTGATAATAAAGTTTAACTGAACATGATAGCCCTTTTGTAGCGTCAGCACAGAGACAGTTATAGCGTCAAACATGTGGAGATTCACAGGAGCTAACAGAAATTCAGTGTATAATGCAGCAATCATTGCTGTCCACCAGTTATTTTCGCTACCAAAGTTCTGTCCGATTTCGTCACACGTTAGCTGAAAGTTGAGAAAGTTATGAAGTGCTTTTTGGAAGTTTTACAAACAGCATGATAAAGTCTTAATATACCGTAGCTTTTCTACGGTACGTGAAGTGTTTAACGTTATTCAGCACCAACTAAATGATAAGTTTCACTAACTGAAAACATAAGATAAACGAAACAAGATACTCTCGAGTAGGTTTTTGATAAGGTTTAATGTGAAGAATGGAGTTCCATGCGAAGTGCAGATTTTTTGCATAGGAAAGTCATGAAAGACCCAATCCGCACATGCTTGCTAGTAGTCGTCAGTGTCTGCAGTGAGCACCACAATGTGCAACCGAAGTCTTGAGAAACTTGCTAAACTTACACAACTCTGAAATTTTCCCATGGCAAGAATACATGTTTTTACTTAATGTTTTCATTATTTTACAAGTTCTGCGAAAGTCTTTGCAATGCTCGCATATCTGTCCTAATTTTTCTCAGTGCGAATGGCACTGTTGCTAGCGCGTTTGTGAAGTTGCTTTCCTTGTCACCTAAATATAAAACTCGATAAGAACAGTCTACTTAGTTTAATTTAATCACACTCTATAAATGAGGTACTCAATGTTGAAAATAGCCACATCATATAAATTAATGATAAACCATCAACAAATCGACAGAATAGCACTTAATACCTTTTAGTAAATCTAGTTACGAATATAATACGAAATTAAGCATAACGTACAGTGTAACAGAAATATACAGAGCGAGGACTAGGCATACATTATGTAGTATCAAGATTTAGTGTGAAAACTCTCAGAAAGGACTTCAATCTTTTAAATCACACTATAGCATATTGTGATAGACTTCCATAAGACGACATCTGCATCTTTGAAAAATACCGACTTTGTTTAATGTAATGTGAACTAACATAAGGCGACAAACATGAGATCTTACTGCAGTAGCGAAGAGGTTGAATGTGCGTCCATTTAATCCAATATTCAATCTTATTCACATAAAATTGATGGATGGTGTCAAGTATTTCTTTTTACTAGCACAATAAATAGGATCTTATTGGAAGTAAGTTTTTCCTTATATTAGTTGCATGTCTTCCTTGAATTATTGTTGGATACTAAATATTTCAACTAGTGTTACGAGGATAATAGGAAATAAAGAAACATACAACAAATGAGAGATCATGTATTCGTAATAGATTCAGATACTAAAGTTTGAAAGGCTATCCTGTTCTTCATTGATCCTCACAGTACGTACCTCTGTTGAAATCTAAGTTATCTTTTAAAGAGTTCACCAATGAACCAAATGTTATTTGATCGATTAACGACTTTCAGTGGTTGACCATCCTGCGTGACAGCCTGATTACACAAGTACCTAGTTCGTCCACCGTTTGGTCATCCTCATAAAATTGTCCTCTATGGAGGGGAAAGACTTGAAATATCAACGCCTAAATTACCGTTTTAAATTTGATAAGGGGAAATCGAATACACCTCTCCTCCTCCTGCAGGATAATGGCAAGAGGCTTATATGTTTCATCCTATTATAAAAAGGACGGTGGTTGACACCATAGGCTAATTCACTTCTTAATCTCTGTACTCTTTCAAAGACTGCTTCCTTTTTTATCTCGAAGCGTAGACCAGCCGCCTATAGACTTTATCCAAGATTAGGCCTGAGTGTATTTACAAAGACTTATCGATGGGTTTGAAAACACTTCAACATGTCCATAGCATTAAAGAAGCCTTATTTGCAGCTGTTCTACAATATGATATAATCCTCAGATTATGTCTGACTGTCTGCCCCTCGAAATCAGGCAATCCTTGTCCCTCAGAGACTACGATATTCAATACCTGTGAACAAAGGTCACTACCGAAAATTTCCTGAAAGCAGTTTCCAAACTACAGAGGTCGCAATGCTAACTTAGTGCGTCTCGATTACCTTCCAGGACTGACCCACAACCATCATTATTTACAGTTTTCCATACAATAATATTGTCAGTAGATAATGATGAAAATGAGGGAAGAAATTACGGCAGTTCGTTCAAGTAGAATAGGAATAGCAAGGGATTAACAACAGTTCGCTGTGGTACTCAACTCGATACTGCTTCCGTCTCAGCACCACTAATCCTAACACTAGCCCATACAAATCTCATAAACACCTGTCGAATGGAAACTCCTTTAGTTTACTGAGGAGTCCTGAATAAGACATCTTATCGAATGCCTTACTGTGACCAATAGGTAGAAGCAGCTTTTCCCTACTTGCTTCCACCCGAATTTCCTTAGCTTACAGTACGTTTGACAAGCAGGACCACCCGGGTCGCAGTCTATGGTATCCCTCCGCCAGCAGGTCATGCTTCTTCATAAGGACAAATAACCCTTTGCCCATGGCTTGCAGTTTGGTAGTGAGAAACAGCGTCTGTTATCTCTATACATAGAGCTCACACCTGTGACTTCACAGTCTCTAGGTAACCTTGTCTGAGTCAGATATTTTAAAATTCTCTATAGGTGGAATGTATATCATATGCGCTAAGGAGAATTTCAGGCTGTGATGGAGTTCATCAGACCCTGGTGACTTAAAAGGCCTCAGTTTACACGACAGTTTTAGAACAACGGAGTCATCCATCATCCGAGTGGTGGTAGTATCAAACATTCGGGTGTTGCAAGCAGACAGAAAAATATGATGGAAACGTTCAGAAAGCTTTTCGAATTTCAGTGAATATAATTTTGCAACCACCATTGAACAGTTTATCGGCGACGGCAAACCATTACTAAATTTAGTCCCACGTTAAGCATACGAGCACAGCCTTTTGGGACAATGTAGAAATCTGAATGCTAACATTTTGTCGTATTCTTAACGACTTTTATCAATCAAATACTTGTAAAGATTCGGAATTTTATCACATCCAATGCGAAAATTCTCCCTTCTATTCAGAGCGAAGTGATTCCATAAGCTTCTCAATGTAGTGAGGACTTCCTTAAATCATTAATGGCCAAGGGCAGTTTATGCGATAGCTTCAGAATGGCAGATCAATGTACTAAAGTTGCACTGGTACATTGCAATATATTACTAAATTTCACCCTAGCTTCCTGGACAGGCCTAATTGTATTTAGCGATATCCGCTGCTCTAAATAATTTGCTTCCTATGGAGTCAAATCTACTTCTCTTCTATATGATGTTTTTATGCCGGCGAACATCCATTTATATACTGCTGATAAATCTTACTTATCCACCACAGCTCTTATTTCACTGATATTGGCGATGTTACAATACGAAAGCTTTCCCTAAATTAGAATAGCGATGGCATCTGATGTCAGCGGTTCATGACTGTCCCTTGTTTGAATAGCAATATATTCTCTTCCAACTCCGCTGTAGCATCAGGCTTGTCCATTAGTCTCATCGCCTCTCAGACTGCTTTAAGTAATGAAGGTATTTTGACTTTTACTCGGAGTACGATGTGAAGAAATCCGACTGCCTTATTATTTGTCGTTATTAGACAACACACCATAATGATAGTTTATTAATTTGAGCTAAATGGTAATTACTTGGCTAGATAGTCATCGTTCATGAACGAGTGAACGTGCATGGCGTGCTTGGCCATGAACCTTCAGGTTAACAAATATATTTAAACAGTGATGGCTGGTATTCAAGTCTGAGCGAAGAATGCTGTAGTTTATAATTCTGGTGAACCATTTATCTCAACACTGTATTTAGCTGTAGATCCCCGATAACTCTCCCATCTCGACTGCAGTCATTATTTGACAGAAGAATACAGGAACTTGAACTTTCTCTTCGATGAATTTTAATCAAAAAAGATCCGCCCAAAGAGATTTTTTGGTGATTATAATGGAGAGCTTTATGAAATGTTTCTGAGACTCTGTACAGGCCTATCAGTCTCACCAGCACTTTAATTAAGACACTGGAAAGAATCATCAGGAAAAGCATCATGGCATATCTAGAAAATAGAAGCTTATTATCAAGAGCACAGCATGGCTTCCGAAGGAACCTCTCATGCCTGTCAAATCTTCTCACTGCAAGAGAAAGCTGGGTCAAATCCAGGGACAACAGAAGACCCGTTGACGTCGTCTTCATAGACTTCAGCAAAGCCTTCGATAAAGTAGCCCACAAAAGACTACTCATGAAGTTGGAAAGTCTTGGTATCAAAGGCAGCTCACCAAACTGGCTTAGGGAATTCCTCATAGATAGGAGACAGAGGGTTAGGATCAACTCGAAACTCTCCTCTTGGACAGCAGCACGCAGCGGAGTGCCACAAGGCACGGTACTCGGACCTCTCCTATTTATTTTGTATATCAATGAGTTATCTCTGCTCACCGACTCCCCTATGGTCCTATACGCAGATGATTTAAAAATTTGGAGCGAGCTGAAAGGCGACAGTGACACGTCGACGTTGCATGAGGACCTCAACAAATTGTCAGAGTTGTCCAGAGAATGGATGCTCTCGATAAATGTGGCAAAATGTGCAACCATGCGCAATTGGACAAGCAAGCACGAGGTCCTACGAACTAGAGGCAATAACGCTCCCATCAGTTCAGACTCACTTGGACTTAGGTGTCATAGTTAGCCACGACTTAAAAACTACAGCACACTGTCGCGCGGTGGCTGCACGTAGTTTCAGATCATTATGGGCAATTCGTAGAGCCTTCACCAGAAACACCAGAGATATGTTCACCTCCCTAAATACAAGACTGGAATACTGCATCCAGGCCGCCAGCCCTTGTCTAAAAGGGGACTCATACATTTTAGAAAGGGTTCGAAGGAAGGCAACACGCATGGTTCTCGGAATGGTCGGTCGGTCGGTTTTCGACATAGAACTTTGCACTGATGTGCGGCAGTTCAAGTCGCCACAATCTATGTAGCACGCAAAGCAAGAGAAGGAAGTAGAAGAAATGCATAATGGAAACAGTAAACAGAGGTGTGAGACAAAGGAATAGTAATAACGGAGAACAAAACAGTTTAATTGGAAATCATAAGTCATAAGGAGTGGATGCATCTGCGCCACTGAGAACGATTTTGAGCCATGTCACCAATTGTTTCCAACCATTGGTTTTTACCGTCCCGAGGACCCCAACCAGGAAGTCTACATCTTCCTACGTGGCTTAGATTAATTGTTGTAGATTTCATTGATTGGTGCCATGTTTTCGTTTGACCACCGCTAGCTCTTTTCCAGCCTGGCCCTATATCAGCTAACATTGCCCGTCGAGGAAGGTGATGACTAGGCATACGTAGCACATGTCCTAACCATCTCAGTCGATGTAATTTCACCGTTTCGTCGATTGATTTCCCCTCCTTACCTAGCACTCGACGCCTAACCTCAATATTGCTCACCTTATTATACCACTTCACGCGGGAGATAGAACGCAGACACCTATGATCGAAGACAGCTAATCTTTTCATGTCTTCTGCTCTCAATGGCCAGGTCTCACAGCCATAAAGGAGGACGGAGCGGACTGCTGAGCAGTACACACGCCCTTTGGTCGATAGTCGGATATCGCGTCTACGCCAGAGACGGCGAAAACTGGCGAATGCGAACCTAGCCCTCTGTATTCGTCCTGAAATTTCGTCTGAGATCAACCCGTTGGGGCTGATGGTACTTCCCAAGTAATTGAAGCGGTCAACGTGTTCTACCACTTCACTTCCTATTTCTAATCTAGGGGTCGATGAGGTCCAATCCTGCAGCATCATCTTACATTTTACAGGGGCGAATCGCATGCCAAACATACGGAGATTGTTGCTCAGGGTGTTCAGTAGACTCTGCATTTTGTCAGAGTCCTCGCCTAGAAGGACTATATCGTCCGCATATTCTAAGTCAACGAGATTATTCCCTGGTAGCAAGTCAATCCCTGAGTCGCTGAAGTGTGATAGGGTTAAATCCATTAATACGTCTATGATGAAGTTGAATAGGAATGGGGATAATGGGCATCCTTGACGGACGCCACTAGTCGTCACCACTTCAGATGACAACTCGCCATAAGCCCTCACCTGGCTGCATGAGTATGAGTAGAGTGCCTTAATCAGTGCAATGTATTTTCTTGGCATTCCCTTTACAGCCAAGCATCGCCAGAGAACCTCCCGGTCGACAGAATCGA